TTAAGCGGTGCGTTCAAGCACGCTCTGCATTCGCGATGGCTGCTTGATAAGCCTGACCGCCATTGTGTAAGTGGACGAAGGCCCTGCGTGCGGGCGCTATCGTGATTTCGCCGTTAGATTGCTTGTGATTTGAAGTAAAGGAGTGCGATCAATGACTAACCATTCGGGTTTCAAAGGTGTTTAACATTAGTTAAAATATGTCATAACCGACTTCAAAAAAGTATTCGACTCTTTTTTTTTTTATAGAATAGGCCGACAAACGAGCACACAGTCCACCTGATGGTAAGTGGTTGCTGCGGCCCATAGACATCTACATCTATCTTCCATTACAAATCAAAATGCAGATGCGTTGTCACCCGTGAGGACTGAGATGGAATGCCTCATTTTCAGTAAAAAGGGTCTCCGGTTCTCTACACTCACCATACGAAATACAGCAGCATTAAGCTACTATTTCACGCTGGTATTCTGTGAGAGCGTGGTCCTTCCCCGGTCGAGCCGACCCATTCGTGCTACAACTATACTACTAATATAACTGCAGCATGGCTCTACCACGTAGAAATGAATTTGAACGCATTATGAATGATACCTCAGTATATAAGTATATGTAGTGGTATTGTTAAATGCTGCTGTGTTTCGTATGATGAGTGTAGAGAACCGGAGACTCCTTTTTACTGCAAACGAGGCATTCCATCTTAGATCTCAGGGGTGACAACATATCTGCATTTTTAAATGTAGATTTCTATAGGCCACTGCATCCACTTTCCATTAGGTGGACTGTACGCTCGTTTGTCACCCTTATTTTATATAAAAAGTCTATGTTTAATTTATGTGTCCCGGTCTGAACCGTCTGTATAGATAATAAATTTATCTCCTACCCTCAAAAACCCAATGCAATGGTCTGATAGAATGGTGAAACTCAAAACGAGTGTCATTTCTATACGCACTGCGCAACGAAATGTCGCCTGAAGAAGATGACAGAAATCCAACTACGACGATACCCAAAGAAAGGTCAACGCTTCAAAAAATCACTTTTTATAAGAAATAAATATTATATATTTCAAATAATCAAAAAGAATAAAATAATTTCACATTATAAAGTCGGTGCTAAAACATAGTGTATAGTTTGTGTAAGCTTTGCCGCCATATAAAACCAAAACTACGGAGGACGACAGAGACAAAAACACAAAGTCATATACTATAACTTATATATGGAGAAAAAAAAACAAACAAGCTTTACCAATATTTATGATCACTTCGAAAAATCAACTTAAAAAAAACTTGCTACATTATGTCAAAATGGCGTAGATAAAGCAGCGCCCTTTTGACTACTATTTGATTGCGCGATGAAGAGCCAAGGTTGTAGATTTTGAGTTACAAGAAAGTGACCATATTAACTAGATGACCATATTACCCTCACGTACTTCAAGGCCCCTTCCGAATGTGAAATTATTTTATTCTTTTAAGTACTTTAAAGCTTTTACTTTTACTTTTAATAAAATAAGAGCATTATTTATTATTATTATTTATATCCACTTTAATACATCTCTATAAATAAAAGCGGCAAAGAGCGTGTCGGGCCACGCTCAGTGTAGGGTTCCGTAGTTTCCCGTCCGTCACAATAAGTGTTCCCACTTATGAGTTTAAAGGTGGGTAACCATTATGTTCGCGCTCCAGCAGCGCTCCGCGCTCCTGCAACTGCTCCCGGTGGTGAGTACTGTTGTTTCCATCCAAATTCAAAATGATTTTCCTAGAAAGTTCTTATAAAGTTCTACTTTTCAGATTTTTTCATATTTTCTAAACCTATGGTTCAAAAGTTAGAGGGGGGGACACATTGTTTTTTACTTTTGGAGCTATTATTTCCGAAATTATTGATATTATCAAAAAATGATTTTAGTAAACCTCTATTCATTTTTAAATACCTTTCCAACAATGTATCACACGTTAAGGGTTGAAATTAAAAAAAAATCACTTCCCACTTTACATATAGGGGGGCTACCCTAATAAAACATTTTTTTCCAATTTTTATTTCACCATTTTGTCGGCGTGATAGATACACATATTGGTACCACACAAATTTCAGCTTTCTAGTGCTAACGGTCACAGAGATTAAGCGAGGACGGACAGACGGACAGACAGACATGGCGAAACTGCTATCCGTTAGTCTCGCAAAAACTCTAAAGTGTCTCTACTGATTTTTGTGTTTGTGTGGGTCCTTGGATAATTTAGATTCACAATTGGTCCCGGTAGCTACTTGGCGCTATTTTCGAGATCCGGAAATCACACGTGCGAAGTCGGGACTGATCGCTAGTAATTTTATAAAATAAGTGGCGTGTAGCAGCGTAATACGATCCACTACCTATATCATTCCGTGGGTGTCGTAAGAAACGACAGAGGGCATGTAGCTTCTAGTATAGCATGTAGTAGATGAAAATTCAATAATAATAATAAACTGCAGCTGCCAACTCGCCTGCCAATCGTGTAAACCATAACAAATATGAGGGATATAAAGTCAATTTATGGGGGAGACATATCTTCAGCAGTATACTTGATTAGCTATAATGAATCAATCATTGAAAAAACATTAAATAAAATAAGAAATATTTCAGAACATTATGTACTTCGTATACTCTATATTATTACAGTATACAAGAGTATGCGACATATTAGAAAGCATTACAATATTACGAAAATCTTGTCACAGTTAATGCAAAAGCTAATGAACCAGCAGATTAAAAGGATACCAAAGCCGCCTTTCCTTTCCTAATAAAGGAAACTAAGCTTACAGCTAGTCGGCTTATGTTAACACCGAGTTGAAAGCGAGCTTTTGTGGCTTTTGGTGCTTTGCCGTATGAACTAAGTTTATGACGGAAAATGAACCTACGTGTCCATGTAAAATAAATACATTTTTGTAACAGTCTTATTCTTTTATTTTTCTAATAATTCAATGTTTAGCGTGCAAATACTTAAGAAATAAAATGTTATTTAGTAAATAAGTACTTGTTAAATATAGCTTTTCTATTGATTAAATAATATATTTATTAAATCCATTAAACTATTGGAAAAGTTTTTCATGTTACAATAAAAGCTCGAGATCTTCTGTCTGAACAACCACAACAGAAGATTTCTAAGGAGTCTTAAGTGTGATCTAAGTTTTAATTGGTGTTTGGTAATTAAAGTGTCAATTTTGGTAATTCAATCGGCAGTTTTTATTGTCACGAACTTTAAGCTCGTAACAATTGGTGTCAGAAGTGGGATCATGCCGATTTTACCGAAGTACGACACGGGTGTCCGTACCCGAAGTCAACGCCAGCAGGAGGTCACAGCTCATTAGAGCCACCCGGCACCCGACCTTCACCGCCTCGCCTCGAGCGGTTCGTATTCTTCGTATGGACTTGTATGGGCCTGCGCTCACTGCATCAACTCCGTACCATCACCGGATCGCCTCGCTCGCGAGGTGTCCACGCGCGGACTGCGAGTGGACCACTCGATGATAGCTCGCTGTTGGCATACTTGCCTCGCGTGAAGCGCGAGCTGGCAACGCGCGATTCACGCGAGTGCGCCACCAACCCTTTATTTCGAGCCTTTCTTTCGAATGTGTCGGACGCATTATTGTTTGTTTTTAAAGTGAACAAAGAAAAACTTATAGAAGAAGTTCGGAAGTATAATTTATTGTATGATTTAAGGGTCACATGTTAATCACGCGAGCTCCACTCGTTGACGACGCGAGGTCCACTCGATGACCACGCGAGGTTCACTGGTGACAAGGCGGCATCCACCCGTGGTTCACCTGTCGACTACGAGTGGGCGCCTGGTGACGAGGCGGTGAGGGTCGAGTGTCGGGTGGCTCTAATGAGTTGTGACCTTTAATCCCCGCGCTTTAATTAACAACTGTATCGTTAAGAGGGTAAAATTAAGGATTAAAGATTGATTGAAATTCTGCCATGTTTTTATTTAACCACTTTTTCAATATTCGGCTAAATCACCGTATATTCGTTAAAGTGGTACTCAAAAATCAAAATATCCACTGTATGGAAATGTACGAATTGAGTAATGCCATGTCTTTCATAATTTTACTGTTGAAAGTATATTTATTTATGGGTTAAATCTACTTGTACTGTAGATTTATTCCCAATTATAGCAAATAGAAAGCTTGATAAAATTTTGTTTGGAATCAAACAAAGAAACATTACATTACAGTCGTCAGTTTCTCTTAAATTGGTCCAAATAGTAGATCTCCTGCCACTCATTTTCATCAAATAATTATCAATTTTCACTAAGAATACTTTTTTCTCACAAAAATAGTCAAAACATAAGCATGTGCCGGCCATTTGATCAGTACTAGATGATGCAATAACATGTCAGGTGTGTCGGTTGAGCGAGGAGAAGGCTCTGGCGCCAATCCCGCGCGCTTTACGGTAACAGGTTTGGACATAAATTGGTTAGGTACCGAGGTAATCCTGCCGAATAATGTTCGGCTGAATATTCGGTTCGGTAAAAATTTTACCGAACGTACGGCCGAATATTCGTATTCGGTGAAATCCATATTCGGCCCATCCCTAGTTATATTTACTAAATTATTTTAGACAACGTGAGTGGTTGAGGTTTTAAATACTACAGTTTCATCAACTACTCTAGTCACCACAAATATTTTTAGGAATTTAATATTGCTCAATAACTGTTAAGTTTATTTCATACCCTCTAGCAGTAACTAGAGGGTATAAAATGAAGTATATACATAATATGAATAGCGCTGTTGTGGACAGTTTTTGAACTGTTATTTACTGCTTACAGATGGACGCTTTTCGACTATTCTCCATGTGAGACGGTCCTCCTTACCTCTATACTTATTAGAAATGTAATCGAATTGATTTGATTTGTGAGCCGGTCCACAGCTCCAGCTCAGATGATGCATATTTTGTTGAATTTCCTATGTTCACCACACCAGAGCAAGAGTGAACAACGTATCTAACGTGTATAACGTATACGTGGAAATTCCGCAGGCACACGTGAACAAGCGTATGTGTACGCGATGTCGGCGGCGGCGTTGTCGTGGTCGGTGGCGCGTGCTTGTGCGGCGGGCGCGCTAGCGGCGTGCTCGTGTGCCGCGGCGCCTCGCGCCCCGCCGCGCCCGCCCCGCGAGGCCGCGCCACCTGAGCCGCACGCTCGCTTCAAATGGGGCGGTTGCGGCGATAACTTTCAATGGGCTGAAAGGTAATATTGTTTTTACTTTCGTGGCAGTAAATTTTTTCTATTATTACTACCAGTTTTCTTTAATATTACATATAAGCGACAAACGAACTATCGCTTGTAATAGTCTACGCACATGTCAACCTTGCCCGCTGTTTGTTTCTCGTTCTTCATAACCTTCAAACTGATAGACGAAAGTAGGTCCATTGGTGCTTGAAACCCGAAATATCATCATTAAATCAGCCCTTCACAAATCCACTGCTAAATGTAGGCCCTCCCACCAAGAAATCCCACAAAGCACGATCCAAAGCCACCTGTATCCATTAACTTCCTGTATGTCTTAACAGGTCGTCGTCACTCCATCTAGTGGGGACTAACATACACCATACTACTACCGGTACGAGGCTGCTACTCGAGAACCATTCTTCTACATTTTTTATAGAATAAGGGTGACAACGAGTACACAGTCCACCTGATGTAAGTGGATGGATGCTGTGGCCCATAGACATCTACATTTATCTTCGGTTACTCTGGTTCTACTGTGAATATCCTAATATCTGACTTTATCATGCCGAAAAATCTTGAGCATAGTTTCCATAATTCGCTGTGCGACCTTGAGCTTCCTCATACGGGCCAGCAGTGAAGCAGACCAAAGCATATATCATATTGTATGAGAAAACTTCTCCTATCCGGACTGACTCCTAGAAAAAAAGGGTTCCAGTGATTCTGGCAAATAAATTCTTTCTTTCTTTCCTTCTGCCATCTAACTGATTAAATTACATGCGAACGATATAATAATTAACATTATAACTTTAAAAAAAGCAGGTTTATATCGTATGAAGCTTCAAATATAATGTTCAACATGCCATTATGACTGCATTCCTAAACAGTTTTTCAATGTACTCGTAATGTCCTCAGGTGTTTGACCATACGTATATTGTTTAATCGCAGCTACAAATCCATTTATTAATTATTTTTATTAATAGTTTTTATATTACCTAATTAATTATTTTAACATCTTTCAGATTTGCCAAACAATTTCTTGATGCTCACGAAATCGACGTTAGGGACGGAAAGATCGAAAATATTATCGAATTGGAAACTACGACGACTGAAAAGCTAACTACCACGACCACGATAGAGACGACCACAGCGCCACCTGTGGTAATACTAGTAGATGACCAACCGGCACCGGCAAATATTACTGCCACGCCAAGACCTAGAAAAGGACGACGTGGCCGAAAAAGACTGCCAAGATCTCCGAGACGGGGCAGACCCACGAGAAAACGATTTAGATCCAGGTAAACTAAGAATAACGAAAAATTCAAAAATGAAAAAGGATATTCGTACATATTATTATTTTAATATAATATATTAACTAAAAGAATATATAATAATTAAAGTAGATTGGGATGTAACAAGCTTTTATCTATAAGAACTTGAACTAAAACTTTTTCATTTTTTTTAATGTAGAGACACTTAAATATATTCACATAATTTACTTGTAAAACACCTTAATAAAATTGGAGGTAGAGAAGAAAGCTTGATGAGCTTAAAATCTTTAAATCACGTCTAGTCAGTCAACGAAAGATTAAAAGTACGGAATAATACGGTCTTATTTTTACCATCAATTCATTTGTTTAGTACCAAAAATTCAGAAAGAGCAACACCTAAAATACTTGGATAAGTGTAAGTGACACTACTACTTATTGACAATATTAAACCAAATTTTATTCGGCATAAGTGGTGCTTTCAAAGGCAAGCTCAGCGCCTGCTCGGACCTTGCGCTCTAGGCAGCCTAATTAACCCACAGGTTACTTTGAGGGCCTGTTAAATTTAAAAATTACTGCTAAGACGGTAAGAACACCTGTTGTTGCGTAAGTTCCATGTCAAAATGGTTAATTGAACAGTTGTGAAACCTCATTTGGTTAATTCAACAATTGCATATATTTTGCTGTATAAGATATTAAAACAAAATGTGTTTGCAATATCGTTAGTACGGTTTATGGAGTCTTAACATTCCTTAGTTTCCATTAAAATTTGGGCAAATCTCTACGGTCCCGCGCTGTAAGAAGTCATCGGAAGTAAATCTTTTTTTTATAGGAGAGGGGGCAAACAAACATACGGCTCACCTGATGGTAAGTGATTACCGCCGCTCATGAACAACTGCAACACCAGGGGAATTGCAAATGCGTTGCCTGCCTTTAAAAAAGGCTCTTTTCTTGAAGGTCCCTAAGTCGTATCGGTCCGGAAAAATCTCTGGTGGTAGTTGATTCTACAGGGAAGTTGTGCGAGGAAGAAAACTTCTTTTAAATCGCACAGTGGTGGACCGTCAGTCATCCAGATGGAATGGATGGTATCGCGAATTTTGTCGCGATACCATATATGTGCGATGGTGAAATTGTGAAAGAACCCGAGGAAGATGCGATAAAATACGCAAAGAGATGCAAATTCTCTTCGTATTGCCAGTGAGTGAAGCCGATCGGGAAGAGCTCGGAAGAGCCGAAGATTCAAACTGCTCTGCGTTGGATGCGATCAAATGGAAGGAGCTAGAACTGGAGAGCCTCAGCCCAAAGATGGGAACAGTATTCCATGTGCGGCCGAACCTGCGCCTTGTAAAATTGAAAAACTGTCCCGCTCTGCTGACCACGCCAAGCTTTTTAGAGGCCGATTTGGCCTTCTCTTCCAAGTGACCACGAAACTGCACGTCACTCTGATACTGGCTGAGGCAACAAGGGGAGTGTCTTGAAACTGAAGATATACGACGAAGGGGTTCTTTTTAGCGGTAAAAGCGCAAACTTGTGTCTTCAGGAGATTAAACTGGACTAGATTTAGTCGCCCGCAGTCCGAGATTTTGTTGAACAAAGTCTCGACTACAAACATGAGTTTGTCCCGGTACTCGGCGACATTTTCCCGAGAAATATTAGCACGGCCGGTGTATAAAGAATCATCAGTGCTGCTGTCTGCATAGCAATGAATGTTACCGGTTTGCAACATGTCATTGATATGCAGAAGAAACAGCGTTGGTGATAGCAAGCAGCCTTGTGGAACGCCAGTGTCTACTACTACCTTGATGCTCCGATCAGCAAGAAAACTGGTGATCCAATTGCATAATTTCTCGGGAGGCCCATAGGAAGGAAGCTTCGTAAGAAGCGCTTTGTGCCAAACCCGATCGAAAGCCTTCGCTATGTCCACACTAACGGCCAACGCCTCCCCCTTGGACTCTACTGCCTCCGCCCATTTATGAGTTAGGTAACCCAGAAGATCACCAGCCGAGCGACCGCGACGGAAACCGTACTGGCGGTCACTAATCAGCTGGTGATCCTCAAGGTACCGCATGAGCAGGCTGTTAATAATGGATTCCATTATTTTAGAGAACAAGGAGGTGATGGCGATGGGCCTACAGTTGGACAGATCAGAGCGGTTATCTTTTTTAGGGATCGCGTGCACGAACGAGGCTTCTAACAAAGGAATCCAAGAATTACCGTTGATACTGTGTGCGTAACGTAACGTAACGTAAAAAAAGTATATTTTGTTGACAGTTGAGGTAATTTACAACTAAAAGACAGTATATTTTTATAAACAGACATTTATTCGTATAAAAAAGAATGAAAAATAAAAAATATAAAAGGATGAAAAGGTTACAACTAAATACTTTAAACTAAATTCTAACTTATAGATTTTATTTATTTATTTTAACTTATATATCTAACATTTCCAACACCTCTCTAGATAATAAAGATTATATTTTTTTTACATGGCATTTTCGCAAACTTGATACGAAAGGATCACAATTTAATAGAAGTCCGTGTAAAAGGTCGGTGTTAGTCAAAACATGGGTGCTGGAAAGCACTCGAAACGTCGTCGGGTATTAAAAATAAAATAAATAAAACGCGATAAAATCCGTAAAAGTAGTTTTAATCAATGTATAGTGTTCGCATAAATATAAGAAATCATTATCGCATTTAATTTTACTTATTTTTAATTCCCGACGTTTTCGCTGGACTGGAGTACCTTCAGCGTTTCAATTATTAAATTTAGTCCGATCTACGCAGAATGAGCTAACTTAAAAATAAAATAAATAAAACGCGATAAAATCCGTAAAAGTAGTTTTAATCAATGTATAGTGTTCGCATAAATATAAGAAATCATTATCGCATTTAATTTTACTTATTTTTAATTCCCGACGTTTTCGCTGGACTGGAGTACCTTCAGCGTTTCAATTATTAAATTTAGTCCGATCTACGCAGAATGAGCTAAGAGCTGTTTTGAAGTCTTGCAGTGGTATGCTTGGGTTTAGTTTTAATTTTCTTAATTACAGGATCCCAAGCAGGTGGTAACCACCCTCCTTCTCTATTGCAATTAGAATATTTTTTAATTTCAATAGCCTCACGTATCATCTTTGGTAGGAATCGATGATCTTTTGCGAGGATTTGTAGTTTACTAAATCTTATGTAATGGCGGGGCCTGCCTATAATATGATCACAAACTGCATACTTCCCGGAGCGCTGGTGTTTCACGTCAGCTGTATTCAAAATTCCCGAAATATTGGGAATTAAAAATAAGTACAATTAAACGCAAGAATATTCTTAAAAATTGTTTTATTCAATGTCTAGAAATTATTTTATCAACCGACTTCAAAAAAGGAGGAGGTCCTTGATTCGAATGTAGTTTTTATGTGTTATCTCAGAACTTTTTGCTAGGTGAACCACTTTAGATGATTCTGTTTTTTATGCGATAGCTGGTGCTTCTTCAGAAGTTTTTGAGTTATCCTTAATGAGTATTTAATTGACTTCGACTACATTGATAATGTTCTCATTTTATTTATATAGCAGTCGGTTGTACATTTTTTTTTATTTTACCACTTGTTATAAAATAAGGGTGACAAACAAACACACAGTCCATCTGATGATAAGTGGATACTGTGGTTCATAGACATCTACATCTATCCTCAATTAAGAATAAAAATGCCAATGCGCTGACACCTGTGAGGGCTAAGATGGAATGCCTCGTTTCCAGTAAAAAGGGCCTTCGGTTCTCTACCTTCACCATGCGAAAAAGTATTAAGTTGCTATTTCACGCTGGTGCTACATTCGTGCTACAAGAACAATATAGGTGTACCATGGCTCTACCACGTGATAAAAATACGCAAAACATCCCATGTTGTTAAAAATTACATAATTAACGAACAATATTCTCACCAATATCTGCCCCTAAGCAGCAGTATGTTAAAAAGCGTTTCACCCAATAAAGTTAACTTCCACTTTCGAGAGGTTTCTTGATGGTGGCAAATCAGCCTTTTAAAGTTGGTTTCCGGTATCCTTTCGCTAGTGTTTGCCTACCACTAGAAGGACTGCGGATACTTTGCCGCTGGATTTTTAATTTTTTTACTTCTATTTTTAGGTACGAATACGACGACAGAGGATCACGCCACCGCAATATCGAGTACCGCATGGCGGCTGACGACCCGCGTTTCGACCCGCAAGTGGACCTGCGCACACGGCTTGAGACACTGCGCCCCCTTATCGCCTCTGCCAACTTGATGAACGCACGCTTTGGAAGAAAGGTGTAGTTATAAAATAAAAGGCTAATCCTAAATTATAGTGATTTTATTAGTACTTATGTTATTAAGATTTTATCAGGATCGTAGGGGCATTTTACAAACACTAGACTTGAGCAAACATCTTAAATCGTCTTTATTAGCCTTATGGCCCACACTCTCTCGCGATATTCTCCCTTACACTCCTCATGGTATTCTGGAACCGAAAGCGTGCAACCGTATTTTGCTCCATTGCCGCTTGGCGACTCCGCAAAAGAAGGAATAAAATAGTGTGGTTATAAAACATATTTTACAGAGAATGACTCCCTGAGCGTCGCGGCACTGAATAGAGTGACGACCTGGTATGACATGCAGGAAGTCGATGGATACAGGTGGCTCACGATCGTGCTTTTTGTCATTCCTTGGGGGAGGCCTATGTTCAGTAGTGGACTTGTGAATGAGTGTGATGATGACAGAGAATAATATATAACACAACCAACTTCTATAAACTATGAACAAAAATAATGTATAAGTGATAGCACTGGACTCCTCTTCTGCTTATGAGTTCCAATGGGTGTGTTATCTCTCTCTACCTATCCAGACTCCTGTTGCCTTTTATTGCCGCTAACCAGCGATGCAAGCGCTGCTGTATCCCAATCTGAAGGGTATAGATAGGTAGTATAATTACAGGGCGTGAGGCACTACATCCTAGTTCTAAGAGGTGACAACCATAGAATACTATAATACACAAATGTATTATAGTATTCTATTGTGACAACGCATCTGTAGCCTTATTTGTTTTGAAGTTGGTTACAGGTGTCTATGGGCCACTTACAAAATAGTAATTGACCTTTGACATTACAATTATTTTATTATAAGTTTTAATTGTAAATAGTAACATGGCTTAGAAAAGAAAGACCGCTGAGTTTGAATTTCTTGCCGGTTCTTCACTGTGTATGTCTTACTTTTGCGAACTGTTGTAGATTGATTGCATTACGGCGATATCATCTAAATATCTGTGCGAGGGTGACACTGAAAGTTATTAGAAAATCAAAAACTGGACAAACTAGCAAGTTATTAGTTTTATAATATCTTTTCAAAATAGTGTCCATTTACAACAATACATCGCTGAATTCGGATTCGGGTTTTTCCATCGGTGGAACCACTGAGAAAAACACTTTTCCCACTCGTCCTTAGGGGTCTCTTCTACAGCATTTTGAAACACAGCCACTGCGTCTTCGGCGCCAATAAAACGTTTTCCTCGATGTTTTTCTTTTATTTTTGGAAATAAATAAAAATTGCAAGGCTATAGGGCGGATGACCAGTAATTCCACGTCTGACGTCGCCAAGTAGTCTATTGTTTGCATGGCGGTGGTGTGCGACGAGGCGTTGTCGTTGTGAAGGAGGATCCTACTGCGAGGTCGTTTCTCCCGAACTTTTTCCAAGATAAGTGACAATCAATTACTAGTGTACCACTCTGCAGTAACCGTTTTTTCGATCCTCTAAAACAATTGTTGCGTAATGACCTGTCCTTCTAAAGAACGAGGCCACCATTTTTTTCCCAAGCTTCGATCTCTTCACTTTAGTCGGCAACTCCTCGGAAGGAAACACCCAGACAGCAGACTGTCGCTTAGTTTCAGGATCATAACAATAAACCCAGCTTTCGTCACACATAAATATGTCGAACACAGCATGTGAGTCATCTTCGTAAAATCTTTGAACCATTTCACGACACCAATCAACACGACGGAGTTTTTTGCCGTCTGTCAAATTCTGAGGTATCCACCGGACACAAAGCTTCCTGGCTGCAAAATTTTCATGGCAGATTTTGTACACTTGACTCCTAAGCTTGTCCGAATCTGCTGATAAGTCACTTTTTTGTCAGTCTCTACCATGCGCCGCTCAATATTGATGTTATGTTCAGTCGTCGCCGTAGAAGGCCGTCCCTCACGCAGATTATCGGTGAGATTAGTGCGACCATGTTTAAACTCATTAAACCAGTTATTAACAGTGGCACAAAACGCGGCTTCCTTATGAAAGGCCTATCTAAGTCTATCATAACTTTCTTGTTGACTTAAATGATATCGAGTCATTAAAATCATTGGGTGCGTTTGGCAGAAAAAAGCGCTAGCAAGCGCTTGTAAACAAAATGGCGATCGTAAGCGGTAAGCGCTGTCAAATCGTAAGTAGCTATTTTCCTCCAGGACACGATGTTAGTTTTAACCGGGGAACCTAACCTAATTTAAATATATGTTTGTAAAGTATTGATATTAAAAACTTACCAATCATGAATTTTTAATAACATGTATATGTTTATTCATGTCATTATATTACTTAAAACTAATATTGCACAAAACAACTTATAAACTCTACTTCAAAACAAACAAATTAAATAAGCAAAATGGCGGAATGTGTCAGCGCTACTGAAGTAGCAATCGTGTCCTGGCCGAAAACTATTTTAGCGCTTATAAGCGCTTGCTAGCGCTTTTTTCTGCCAAACGCACCCATTGTACGAAAATTTTCTTGCGTTAAATCAATGTTGACGTGACACAGATAATTTTTAATTTGCCGCCTAATCGTAAACAAATGACAAATTATAATTAAATACATACATAATAATATTGGCAAAGAGTTTCATTTTCAAAATTTGAACTTATTTTTTTATTGTATCGTTTACAAGTTACCAGTTTAAAAACTTTCAGTGTCGCCCTCGTACTGTACCTGTACTGTAGGTACATTACAGGTACAGTACAGATTCACTACACACACTACAGTACCTGTATTGTACAATACAATATAATTTTTTACGTGGTAGAGCCATGCTGCATTTATATTAATAATGTGGCCGTGGTAGGAAAAGGGGAAATCTCCCGCTGGGCAAGGTGTTGTGCCCGGGGAGCGGCTAACGCTCCGAGTGATAGTTCGGAGAAGTTCTATATATACTGTTTATGATTCGGAATTTCGATAGCGTGATTCCAGGCTTCGGTGTGTTTCGCTAGCGGCGCTTCGACAGCGCCGCCACAGTAGTATAGTGGTAGCACGAATGGGTCGGCTCGACCGGACCACGCTCTCACAGAATACCAGCGTCAAATAGTAGCTTAATGCTGCTGTGTTTCGTATAGTGAGTGTAGAGAACCGGAGACCCTTTTTACTGGAAACAAGGCATTCCAAATAAATCCTCACGGGTGACAACGCATTTGCATTTTGATTCATAATCAAGGATAGATGTAGATGTCTATGTTCCACAGCAACCACATACCATCAGGTGGACTGTGTGCTCCTATGTCACCCTATCCTATAAAAAAATACAATACAGGTGTACTGTAGTATGTGTAGTGAATCGGAGACCTATTTCACTGGAAACTATCCATTCCATCTAAAGTGTTCGGGGTGACAACGCATCTGCATTTTGATTCTTAATCGAGGATAGATGTAGAGTTTATGGCCTGTAGCATTTACTTACCAACAGGTGGCCTGCATACTCGTCTGTCACCCTTATTCTATAAAAAAATCTGACGTTCACAGGAGCTTTAAACAAGCCTTAATTAAATAAAGAGCCTTGACTTTTATTTTGAAAGGTGGAGTTTAAGTTTGCTTGTCGCTTCAATTTTATTAACCTCTCAACCCCCTAGCGGTCTCATGCGAACGCGGCCATATTCCGTCAAATCCCGAGCGGTCGCATGTGACCGCACCCACCCACAGCACTTAAAACCATTAAAACTTATATTTATACTACTTTTCTATGAAGAATTTTTGGTATTATATAATCAATACGAAATACTCTATCCTCTATTGCAATAAAAACCTGTTATTCTATGAATATTTATTTATAGTCTACGTTTATTTCATACGCCATTTTCGCGTGAATGTTATTGTGTTGAGTTTTGGATTTTTCTAGTATTTTATCAGTATAGTGTTTTATTACAAAATTGTAATGAAAATTTTTTTGTGAATATATTTTATCTTTTTACATAAATATATTCGGATAATATATACATATATATATATGTATGTATATATATATATATATATATATATATATATATATATATATATATATATAGTGATATATATATAGTAAGTAATAATAAGTGATTTTCACGCTTTGACATTCACTTTGTATGTTTTTTTTATACATTATTAAAATACAATAAAATTTTTTTATAATGAAGTAAAACCTGACTTTTGTTTAGACCACAAGATAGAGAATTTCGTATAGATTTTATAATGCTAAACTTCTTCATAGAAAAGTAGTCTCTAAATATAAGTTTTAATGGTTTGGTGCGGTCACATGCGACCGCTCGGGATTTGCCGGGCGCATGCGACGCATGGGATTTATTTGGCGCTTGAAGGGTTAAAAAGCATCGAATACGGGGTTTGACTAAATAATTGTTGCATCCATTTTAAACCGTTATTTAAACGATAAAACAGTAGCATCAATCCGCGGGCTACCCATTGACTTATATATTACTAGCGTAAGGACCGGGCCAACCGAACAACTAAAACGGACAAGTGCGCTGGCCCTAAAATTACAGTTTAGGTGAATGTAGATAGTAGTACGCGCGCAGGACAGATTTGCCTGTCATAAATATGTCGAGTTGCGTGGTAACATAATACAAAAATTACGATACAAAGATTTAAAAAAAAACATGGGATATCGTATCATCGGTAAATAACCTTATATTAATTTTGTCACAGTTAAATTATTATATAAACGCATTTTTAAAGTTTTATTTTAGTTAGTTTAGTTACGTTACCAAGATTAGGCCAGGGCTGGATTCATACCCTCAAAAATATTGTACATGGAAATTAAAATTACACTATTTAAAAAAAATTATATCATGTTTGACGTTTCATGTATATTTTTCCCAGGTGCCGGGATTTTGGCGTCACGGGTCTAGTTTATTTATACTTTTCGTTTTTTGACGGTTTTATTTTTATTTCATTTAGTTTTTGTCTAAAGAACTTAGTGTAAGTTAAATTTTGAATATTGGTACCTAATGTATTTCATATTCAATAAGGGTAAAACGAAAAGAGTATAAAAGAAACCATATCTGCTTAATTGAATTTGAAAATCTGATTCATAAAATACTTTGAAATTCAGTTTTCAAACCGATTGCTTCTGGAGCATAGAGTTTTTATAGTGGTAGCCCCTCATTATAGTTGTATTAAGGATGCAACATAAACGCATCGATCGAGCGTCGATTGACCAGAAAGGAAGCTAATTCTAATTTTATTAAAAAAAAACGCGGTACTCACGTACAATACAGAAATTCTCGATATTGTAGGGTTAATATTAAAATGTAAAACGACCCAATAATAATGCAAGTCGACCTTTAGGTAAAATTATGGTATTTTCGCTTAGTATTATTACGATACTATGTACTGCAAACTATGAAATAATGGTACCATAGAATACTATAATACACAATAGAATGGCTGTCAACCTTATTTTATACCGAGGTTCGGCGTCACCGGGAGCACACATACAAGCAATTACGTCGTATTATCAGTTAATCACTACTACAAACCCGATTCGCTGTGTTGACAGACGGATTTTAATACATATTTATTTATAACTAGCGTGCAATTCGGCATTCTAAATAATTTGCATGCGAAATTTGGAAACGATAGTAACGTCAAAACACTTCTCGTGTTGACATTTATACGTGTGAACTCCGACCACACCCCCGTTCTCTTATGTGTGTATTATAGTATTCTATGAATGGTACAATTAGGATAATTATACTACGAAATCCGTCCCTAGTTACGTCGTGTTTTGTAATGTGTTGTATATACATATGCGCTACTTTTTCTTGTATAAAAAAGTTATGCGTAAAATATTTAGATGGGCCTATCCTTCCTTTTGATATCATTGGGGCTACCACGTTCCCGCTAATGTTCTATGACGTAGTTATTTATTCAAGGTGGTGTCAAAAAAGATTTCTATGTATACTACTAGGCGGGCAGTACGGTAATAATACATTGAGCACTAAGTTTCGATCAATTCTCAGGTGGTGTCGAGCGGCATGCGCACCAAGTGCACGTGCCACGGCGTGTCGGGGTCGTGCTCGGTGCGCACGTGCTGGCGCGCGCTACCGCCACTGGCGCGCGTGGGCGCGGCACTGGCGGGCGAGGCGGCGCGCGCCGGCCCGCTGCGCGCGCACCCGCGCCGCCGCGCCCGCCAGCGCGTGCGCTTGCGCTACGTCACGCCCAGCCCCGACTACTGCGAGCCCGAGCCTGCTGCCGGCTCGCCCGGCACGCATGGCAGGTAATACCAACATACAAACATATATGCGAGCGCTACGTCACGCTCAGACCCGACTACTATGAGTCCCGCCCGGCACACACGGTAGGTACACATCACACACACACACATATGCACTCTGTTTTAGTATGCGTAACACGAAAATAAAAATTGTTATCAAGTACGATCGTAAAGTATCTATACGAAAGTAAACAGAGAAAAGTTGTTCGCATTCGCAGTGATGTAAGTAATATAATGTGTCCTTTGCTAAGCAACGGTTAAGTTTTAAGTATAAACTTATATGAGATAAAACATTTATATTGCATTTACATTTCCTCTAGACTATGAACTGATTATAATTGGCATTAGAGAAGATGAACAAGCAACCGGTCTTTGTTAAGTTCTTTACTAACAAAATTAGCAATAATATTGGAAAATAATGTCCATAGAATATAACAATGGCTTTTGCTATATAAAAATAAAACCATAAACGAACTTACAGTCCGTCCGCTCGTGAGCAATACTGAAACCCATGGACACCTGCAGCCCAATTTTAAACAAAGAAGATTACCTCTGAGGACAATGGAATGCCTCACAGTCTGCATAGCTTGGCTGTCTTATATCACGTCCGTGTAGTAGCCGCATAAAAATCCCTCTACCCATGTCATTCCGTGGGTGTCATAAGAGCGACAGGGGAAAAATAAAACAGGAGATGACATCAGCGTTTTGGTGATAACAACACATTGATAATTTAAAAAAAACCGTGGTTGCCAACTAGCCAAGCATGGAAAATATGAGACATCTTTTACGTAGTAGAGCCATGCTACAGCTATATTATAGTAGTAGCACGAGTGGGTCGGCTCGACCAGGGCAGGGCCACCATCTAACAGAATACCAGCGCAAAATAACAGCGTAATGCTGCTGTGTTTCGTATTGTGAGTTTAGAATATCGGAGACCTTTTTTACTGGAATCGAGGCATTCTATCTTAGTCCTCAGGGATAACAACAAATTTGGATTTTGATTCTTAATTGAGGATAAATGTGGACGTCTATGGGTCACAGCATCCACTAACCATCAGATGGATTGTGTGCTCGTTTGTCAGTCAATGCTATAAAAATAATTTTAAAAAACATCTACGTGGGAGGCCTATGTTCAGCAGTGGACTCGTGACAACTGTAATGAATGAAATGCAACCGACACATTTTATTGGAGCACTTGTTTTGTTGTTTCTACTAAAAGTTGTCATGCGCAAACAATATACAAAATAATATCACTTTTACAAATCACATAAACGATAAAACAGTAGCAATAATCCGCCGGCGGTTAAGTTCCCGCCAAAACTCAATGATGTTCGCTAAGATACGGTCGCCTAAGTGTCGCGCTGTCTTGGCCCGTGCTGCATTTTGTCAAAGACGCCGCTGCGATATCCAACGGCGTACTCCCGCAGGAAAATTTGACATTGTTAAACGAAGCGCCGCAATGAAATGTTCTTTGCTACCTAACTTGTGTTTATTATATATATTCGTATTTTATTAGAATGACCGTAAGAATAAAATAGCATTTTATTTTATTCTTACAATAAAAAACATTTATTTAACAAATACAGTATAAATTATTAAAATAAAAGCAAAATAATAAATGCCCCACTAGGTGTACCGACACTAAGCAAACAGCCTGTATTTATGGTGAGTGTGGACAATCTGGGATCCTTTTTAATGGATACCGATGCATTACATTTTAGTCCTCAGGGATGACAACGTATCTGCATTTTGATTCTTAAATAAAAGTAGATGTAGATGTCTATGGCCCACAGCACCCACTTACCATCGGGTGGGCTGTGTGCTAGCTTGTGACTTTTATTCTATAAAAAATAAGCGTCTAATTGTGCATACACGTGTGAAACTTCTCTACGACATTCATTATTCTTCATTTATTTTACGTGTTACATAAGTAGGTTAAATAATAGTATAGGTACTCATGCAGGCCAGACGGTAAACGTTACAGAAAACGTTACATAACGTGACGTTTTTTTAAATATCATACTAAATTTCTTCACTACGTCGATAAAGAAGTTTCACTTTAAAAAAGAATACCGCAGTAAAGCGAGTGTATCGGTGTGATGGCAGGAAGTGCAACGCGAGCCTGGGCGCGGCGCGCGGCGGCTGCGGGCGGCTGTGCTGCGGGCGCGGGCGGCGAGCCGTGCGCTCGTCGCGCCTCGAGCGCTGCCGCTGCCGCTACCACTGGTGCTGCCGCGTCGACTGCCAGCTCTGCCGCCTCACAACCGAGGAACACTTCTGCAACTGAACCTGCTCACCCACCATGCGCGCGCATCGCTCACCACCAAGCCCACCACCTTCCCCATTTTGAACGGATATATATATTTAAGTCCGCAATTTCTTAAACCTTTTATCTTGATAAAAGCATAAATCTAACAACAAAACTCGCACACAGATATGCAATAAACAATGAATAGATAATAACTTTAAGGTAAGTAGTTTATTTTGCGAAAATTATTCAACAAACTTTTGCGTAATCGTAAATTATGTTCACTCCTTAACTTACCTTGAAAATAGAATTGGAAAAGCAATCATCATATTTTTTAAATAATAAAGACCACCGGTATTTAAAACAAATCATTGTCGTTGTGAATGTACTACCGAGTCAGAGTATAAGAACCCTGAGCCAAAAATAGGTATAGTCACGAATCTCGATAAATCTGTTCAAGTTAGCATTTGACACATTGCTTACAACAATCCAAAATTAACTAGTGCCACTTCTCGCGCCATGATCGCTGCCGTGACCATTACCACAAGTGCTGCCATATCGACTGTCAGCTCTCCAACCTCACCACCGAGGAACTATACTACAACTTATCAGCTACACCATATACTAGCCGCACGCACACATCGTCCATGACGGATATACTACAAACCCAGCCACTTAAAAATAACTTGACGTCTTTTGACCGTAAAATACTCCTCTCACAATAAAGCTAGGTCGTCTTGAATTTTCCCAGTGAATAAAAAGTTAAGATGCTTAAGGAGATATTACGAAATTAAAGGTATAAAACAAGATACGACAGTACGAACTTTGATTATTATCATTATATTATTAATTATCATTATCATTGTAGCTAAATTAAATTTGTCGTCAAATGTTAACATGTCATTACAAAACATAGTTATTATTTTTTAGGCTAAACGATACAATGTTCTCAATTAAAACTGAAAAGAAATAGACCGATACGTAATCAAAGTATGTATTACTTTTTTACATACTTGGTTCAAAAAAAATTGGATTCTGCCTTAATCCAGATGGTTTGTTTGCTCAACATTGAATGTAACAGTTAACAGTAATATTAGTATTTTATGCAATAAGACTTCCAGTGACAACATGTGTGAAGAACTTGTTTAACAAAATTGCGGATTAGTTTACGCTGATGTTTGTACTAAAACTAAAACACTAGATCATATTCACCAACAATTGCCACCATTTTGTGAGATAAATAAGTACAGTTGGACTTCAAGGATTATAGTTTTATTTTAATATTTGTAAACAAGTTTTAAATTCTTAGGCGTTTGTAACGAAATAGATAAAATTAACCAACGAAAAATCAAGTCTAACACAAATAGTGTGCTTAAAACATAAGTTAGATATTTATGTTGATTTGAATTTTAATATACATGAATGATATTTATATATAGATTTGAGATTCATGAAACGTGTAGGGATGTACAATATTTTAGTGTATGAGTGGCATAAACTTACTGATATTACTAACGTTGATTAAGTTTCTTAAGAGATTCAATTTAAAAAGTTGTCTGTTAACATGTGGTTTAAAACAATAATTTTAGCAATGTTACATACAATAGTAAAGAACATGCATAAATAATAAGTTATATATTACTATGCAGGTACGTTTTTATAATCTCATTTTGAAAGTATTATTTAAAAAAAATTACTAGTAGTTTTTATGTATTACATATTAAAATTACATTTAACTCGGAAGTTCATGAAATACCTGCTATTTATATATATGGATTATATATGTGTTATATAATCATATATATATATATATATATATATATATATATATATATATATATATATATATATATATATATATATATATACAACCACAGTAATTGTGTTTAGAATTATATGCCAAAATTAAATACTCGCTTACGTTTACATGCATTTAACTCTATCATAAAAACTATTGTGACAAGTCTCGGATAAAGCCGAAAATCTTGCCACAATATTTTGCCAAAGAAACTCTTGAACCACTAGTCATATATTATAAGCCGCGAGAGAAGAATACCATTTTTTATTTCTTAGCTTCTAAGTATTTCGACTATATCGTTATGCCACTTCTTATCAATTCAGTACTTACAATGTCAGTTTTTTTCTTCTTTATAATATAGATGTAGAAAAGTAAATGGCATATTAAAATATGTATGCCAATACTTATTAATTTAAAATATTATATATCTTGACAATAATGTGTTAATGTGTGTAGTTATTAAGATTGTAGACATAGCTGAGTACAAAAACAATAGAAAGTTAAAATCATAGCTGTATGCTTTCTGTATATAATGTACGTTTTTAATTATCTGCTATTTATTTTACCTTCTTAAATGTAATATAAACAATAACTGGTAGATTTAAAATGTAGTATTCAGTATTTACTGATAATTTAGGGAAACGTCTATTGTACATAAAATGGTACTTATAAACAAGTGTTTGTTCACTATTTATCTTTCATTATTTATAAAAGTTTCAAAAATGTAAAATAATGTGTATTGTGTAGAATCGTAGGTTTGGAAATAAAAGAACTTAGTTTGACAAATGTAATTTATTTCCTGCAAATCAATGAAAGTGAGCCCTTTTTGAATGTATTATAATATGCAAATTGAGTACAATATTACAATTAATTAAACAAGTTCAACTTTTTTGAGATTTTAAAGAATACGTCAGATAACCAACAAGAGACACAAGGAACTTTTATCATAAGGAAATTTTAAATATGAGACGAGCAAGTTTCAAAGTTCACTTACGAATACAAAAATAAATTCTAGCAAGACTTAAAATCACACGGTCAATTACACTTAGGCTTAAATCACATCACTTATTCTTACAAAGGTTAAGGTATAAATGACACTGGTTTATGAAAAAAAGTGCTTGTATACTACTACTGGTATATTAAGACACCTTACTAAAATTCATATTGCAAAAAAAAAATTGTAATTCTTTTAAGGAATGGGAATTTTCGAAGCCTTAATTTTACAATATTTCATAATCATACACACACACATACACACGCTTACAACCTTTCAACAAAAATTGGAATAACAAAAAGTTCTAACTTCGTTTGGTTCATCATAACTCTGTATGCTCGTGCTCTTTACCTGGAAAACAAGGAAGTTTTGCTTATAATTACGGATTTCCTTAAAACAAAGTGTTGTTAACACTTAAACGGTCGTCAGTCAAGTTTTAAATTCCGTAAAAATTGATTGACACGGAAGAGAAAGACTTAAAACACTACACACGGATTTTGGAGTTTGTTTGTGTTGTGGTTGTCTATGTGTTTGTCAAACTGATCCTGCATGTAATTACGACCAACTTTCGAGTGAGTACGTACAATAAATAAAAGTAAAGTTACAGCCTATATACGCCCCACAGCTGGGCACAGGCCTCCTCTAATTTCCAAACAGTGATTTAGGGCGAGAAAGTGTCCGCTGCGTCTATGCGTTTTGGCTAACTTTACATGTCTTCGGAATATTTTTTTAAATTTCTCAGTCAAGTTTTCATAGCGTTTCCTTCACCGCCAGCACGTTGGTAATACGTAGGTTGTAATGTAAAACTTACAGCGAACTCTTAGCCCCTGAGCTACCACGGCTTGGACACGCGACTACCACTCTATCTCTTCCTTAGCTATAGATAGCTAGCATCTGACAGTACTCAGAATTAGTAACGTGGTCGAAATCGCCAACGACATTATACATGGACACTAATACGAATAATAATGATAATAAAGAACTAGCGGTCACGCCCCGGCTTCGCCTGGGAAGGATTCATGAATAGGAATGATTTAAGATAATCAAAGACCATTTATTCTATAAATTTGTCGTTCGAAAAATCTCCCGGCTTTTCGGGTAAAATAGTCTAGATCATTCCTGGCATGTCTTTTTATCTGTTCGAGAAGCCTCATTACAATACGTTCAGCAAATACGAAGAGAAGATTAAAAATGGTTATTAATTGACTTTAATGTATAAAAATAATAAATATAAGGCAGTTATATGGATATTACAGACAGTTTGATTGTATTTATATGTATAGATAAATACCGGAATGAGCGTCGGTGGTTCCGGTACTAGAGTCGTGTTCTTGTTCGTGGTCGGTCGCCTGGTACAGTCCGCGGCGCACGCGAGCCTGCAGCGCTTTGATCTCGTCGTCGTACTCGCGCCACTCGGGCACTATGCGCATCGCCGCTGACAGCTTGGCCTCCTTCGTCATCGGGTTATTGCACTGTAGGAAAACCAATGAGAAAAACTTTAAAAACTGTTGTACTCCTGGTGTTCTCCTGAGCTATGGAGGTATCACAATCATGTTTAAATCTCAGACCAATAGAGAAGGAAAAACGGGGCGCATCGTATATTTCAAGTCACGCAAAAACCAAGCCAAAATCATGCTCAACATATTGTTAGATTTTGCCACTAACCACATTGATTGTTTGTTTAACTGTATGAACGCATGGATTTGGAATCACTTGAGATGCACGCAGTGCTTTGTTTATCTTTCTTTGTTGGTCTTAGGTTTAAATACGACAAAAACACACATTAAACATTCAAACTCGGAATAATTATTTGTAACCTTATAAATAATAGAACTTCTCGCCACAGTCCAAACGCTTTACCACTGCTCTACCAAGTTGTTCATATGTTATGTTTTGGACAATTAAAAGTTGGGACGAGTACGTTCATGCACGCATCATAATTTACGACAATATTTTAAAGATGTCGCCGAAATTAAAATTGATGGTGAAACATCATCGTCGTTGTTATTATATCTTTTTTTATACAAGAGGGAGCAAACGAGCATGCGGCTCACCTGATGTTAAGTGACTACCGCCGCCCATGAACAACCGCAACGCCAGGGGAATTGCAGGTGCGTTGCCGGCCCTTTAGAAAGGAGTAAACTCTTTTCTTGAAGGTCCCTAGGTCGTATCGGTCCGGAAAAATCGCCGATGGTAAATTATTCCACAGAGAGGTCGTAAGCGGAAGGAAACTCCTTGTGAAGCGTACCGTGGTGGACCGCCAAGCATCCAGATGGTGTGGATGGTAGCGGGACGTTTGCCGCGTAGTGCGTTCACGAAATTTAGCGGCTGGTATTAATCCGAACAACTCCTCAGAGCACTCCCCGTGATATATGTGAAAGAAAATACAAAGAGATACTGTCCCGCTCTGCTGAGCACGCCAAGCTTTTTAGAGGCCAGTTTGGCTGTCTCTTCCAAGTGACCACGAAACTGCACGTCACTCGATATGTCGACGACGAGGATTCCGATACTGGCTGAAGCAACAAGGGAAGTGCCTTGAAACTGGGAAGATACGACAAAGGGGTTCTTTTTAACGGTTAACGCGCAAACTTGTGTCTTCGGGGGTTAAACTGGACTAGATTCAGTCGCCCCCAATCCGAGACTCTGTTCAGCAAATACTCGACATCAGACACAAGTTTGTCCCGGTACTCGGAGACGTTTTCCCGAGAAATATTGGTACGGCCGGTGTACAGAGCATCACCAGTGCTGTCATCTGCATAGCAATTAATGTTACGGGTTTGCAACATATCATTGATATGCATAAGAAACAACGTTGGCGATAGCACGTAGCCTTGTGGAACACCAGCATTAATTGGCTTGTAATCGGAGCTTGCACCGTCTACAACGACCTTGATGCTCCGATCTGCAAGAAAGCTGGTGATCCAATTGCACAATTCTCGGAAAGCCCAAAGAGAGCTTCGAAAGAAGCGCTTCGTGCCAAACCCGATCGAAGGCTTTCGCAATGTCCAAACTAACGGCCAATGCCTCCCCCTTGGACTCTACTGCCTCCACCCATCTATGAGTTAGGTAGACCAGAAGATCACCAGCTGATCGACCACGACGAAAACCGTATTGGCGATCACTAATCAGCTGGTGATCCTCAAGGTACCTCATGACCTGGAAGTTTACAATGGACTCCATTGTTTTGGAGAACAAGGAGGTGATGGCAATAGGCCTGTAGTTGGACGGGTCTGAGCGGTCGCCTAGGGAGTAGGAGTACCGGAAAAGACGCGTTAAAACCGGTGCCAACTCTGGAGCATACGTCCTCAATACAATTAGGGGGATTCCGTCAAGCCCACTCGACTTTTGAATATCCAGGGAGAGGAGTAGTTTGCGAACCGAGCGCTGTGTGAACTGCACCTCCGGCATGGAGCACTTACACCGCGGAATGGTCGGCGGCGTATTCCCCCGTCATCGAGAGTCGAGTTGAACGCAAAGAAAGAGCCTAGCAGATCGGCTTTCTCCTTTGCGGTATAGGCCAGTGAGCCGTCCTCTTTGTGCAGAGATGGAAGAGATGGCTGACAGAAATTTCCCTGGACAGCCTTGGCGAGAGACCAGAATGCACGGGTTCCAGAAGGAAGGCGAACTAGTTTCTCGCCAATTCTGCCTATGTGCTTATGACTTTGCCTTGGCAATGACTCTTTTGAAGGACCTGGAAGGCGGAATTATACTTCTTTTTTAGAGCGCTGGTGTTTACATCCCAGGACGTTGATGCGTCAGCCCAGACTTGGTAGCACTCCTGCTTATAGCATGATGCTATTTTACAGGAGCGACCAAACCATGGCAGAGATTTGCCTCCGATGGGCACCACAGAGGAAGGAATAAAAAGTTCCGTAATCTGAAGTACCACATCAGCGACAGAATCAGCAACAACGTTGGGATCGTCTGGCGAGAAGCAAACCCACCCCTAAGGGTAGGATGCAAAGAAAGACCGCATGCTATCCCAATCGACCGACCTATAGTGCCAAACACGCGGCAGCCTGTAGAATGCAACCGCGATTTCAGCGTGAGTGGCACCACACTCCGGACAAGACAATGGTCCGAGGAGCCTAAAGGGGCGTTGACGGATATCTGATATCTGTCCGGATGAGGTCAGCAGAAGGCCCTTCTGCTGACCTCATCCGGACAGATATCAGAACAGGGAAGGTGCATGATGCTCTACATTTGGAATCCGCGTAGGCGAAGTAACCATATGCCAAGGCAAAATCATGATCAGTAAAACATGAACCAAGCCATTCGGCGTGATAGGCGGTTAAATCGCAGAAGATCACGATCTCTGCGGAGGGGATCTGCTGTAGCAACGAATCTGTAGCCATTTGGACGTGGTCGAAGAGTCTGTCTGTTTCGGTATTACCGCTATGGGACCTATAGAGGCACCCGTAGACGCGCGGATGGTCGTCGCTGTCCACGCGTAGCCAAATGATGGACAGGTCCGAACCTTCAAGTCTGCCGAGGCGTCGAGAACAGATGTCCTCTCTGACGTAAACGCAAACTCCAGCCCGAGGCACAAAGGAGTGTTCCAGTTTGTACCCCGGGTAGGAGAGACACGAGACATCAGCCGGAGAGGACACCTGCGTCTCGGTCAGAAAGAAGAGCAGAGCCGGCCTCGCCGTCTCGAGATGGTAGTGGACGGCGTTTAGGTTAGAGTGAAGTCTTGATATTGCAGAAATTCACGACAGCGTGGCAGGGGTCGCCTTGGTCTTGTTGCTCCGTTTGCTCCGAGCAGTTGTAGTCTTGAGCGGAATTTTGCCCCCCCCCCCCCTCCCTCCCCCAGAATACGCGGGACAGGCTGAGCACCCACGCTCAGGAGTGGATAAAAATGGTCGTAGATGCTCAGCGAGGGAATTCTCCAGGGTGCTGGTACCCTCCTGGGGTAGTCTATCATTTACTTCCGCTACCATGTTGATGGGGGGGGGGGGGGGATTGGGCCTCCGGCCACCTACACTCACCAGACGAAACGCGGAAGCAGAGCTTCTACTTCACACCGGTATTCTGTGAGTTCGTGGTGCCACCCCGGCATACTTGCAACAGCAAAGCTGCCGCGTGGCTCTGCCACTGTATTATGAAAGTTGTGTTTGTACTAAAATATTTTGTTTACTTACCAAATCAATAGTTTTTGCGTACTTCTTGGAATTGTCGTCACACCAAGTCTCACACCAAAGCCACTCTTGAGGCAGTGACTTTATTGCCACCTGATGTATCATGTTGTTTGGTAAGTCTTGATCTACAAAAGTGAAGAAACAAATGGACTTCCTAATTAATTAATTTACGAAAAGTTAAAATAAGTGATATTATAAATAAATCGCTGTGATTTGACGTGCGAACTATCATTAAATAAGAACAAAGTTTTCAAAGCTTGCGAGTACCTAAGTTGGAGAGACTGTTCGGATCCTGACTGAGCGCCTGGTACTGTCCACGCAGGCGGTCGCCGGCCGCGATGCGTCGGAAACGCTTGAGGTCCACAACGTACAGCGCGCTGATGTGGTAGCTGCGGCCCTGCAAGTGGTTGCGCCAGTAGCCCTGCTTCCAGAACCTGCCAGAGGAAATGTAATAATTAACTTTTTTTAAATAAAACTGTAGTGACAAACGAATTAACAGTCCACCCATCCATCCCTCCATTACAGCCTATATAAGTCCACTGCTGAACATAGGCCTCCCCCATAGATTGTCTCGTAGGGTGGATTTCGCCATAGTTGACACGCTTGGCGAGCGGGTTGTCAATCGCAGTTTTTTATTGGTCTGAGTTTTTTCAGGTAGATACTACTACCCATCAAATATTACACTTACCCTCTGTCGCCTCTTACGGCACACACGGGACGATATATATTTACGTAGTAGGGTCACGCTGCAGCTATATTATGGTTGTAGAATGAATGGATCTGCTCGACCGGGGAAGGACCACGCTCTCACAGAAAACTAGCGTAAAATAGCAGCTTAATGCTGCTGTTTCGTATGGTGAGTGTAGAGATCCGGAGAGACGTTTACTGGGATCGAGGCATTCCATCTTAGTCCTCAGGGGTGACAACGCATCTGCATTTTGATTCTTAATCGAATGTAGATGTCTATGGGCCACAGCATCCACTTACCATCAGGTGGACTGTGTGCTCGTCTGTCACCCTTATTCTATAAAAAAATGTGGTAGTGGATAACTGATATATGATTGTGGATAAGATGGTGATGGTATATTGGCTTCTGAAGCCCATGAAAACAACTTGTAACAAAGCTGGCTGCAGATGCGTTACCACCTCTGAAAACTAAGACGGAGTGCCTCACAGCATGTCATTAATCTGACTCTCTATACCTTTATGAACGAAAAACAGCAGTGCAAGTAGAGTGCGCTCATCTTATTCTGTAACAAAACAGAATATTGCAAAAAATCGGGTGAAACTTACATCAAAATGTTTTATTTTATGTAAGAGCATCAACCAGACTTTTGTTTGCCATATGTTGATAAATTCTTAGACATTAAACTGTTCATAAAATGATCATTCATATTCACTTTTCGATGGTAACACAACTATAAGATACTCACCTGAAGCCCTCCATTTCTTTCCTACTATCACAGAATGGTGTGTATCCATAAGGTGCTCCACCCAAATCTAATTCCACTAATTCCTTCAAATCTGCCCTTACAATCTGAAAATATTTTTATTATACATATTTAATGTAATGTAGTAATGTTTCGTTTTATCCTAATTTCTATAATATTTAGTATTATACATTTGGTACCGATAATCTGATTTACCTGATCTGCATCTACAAAAATGATCTTCTTGACATGTAGAGGGAATAACACGTCGAGGAACAGAATCTTATACCCCCAGATGGTACGTTGCCGGTCGCGCTGTCGCTGAAGCCAGCGTGGCCATTGGTATTGAACAAGCTCGTATTGGAAACCATACTCCTGCGCCATATACGGCAGTATGTCCTAAAAACATTCAGTCACGAAATAACCTTCTTGAAATTAAAATATGTTTATTAATAATGTAACTTTTAGCATTAACATAATATAAATAATCAAACAGACAACAAAATCTAACCTTAAGCGATGGACTAAGATAGTTCTTGAGGAACCAGAACTTAACGGGCGATTTGGTGTGCTTGAGGACGGACAGCATCATGATACGCAGGAACCGCTCGTACAAGTGTCCGGAAGCCACGGAAAACACGTTAATGGTCTCGTCCGGACTTTCTTGCTCCTCGCCACCACCGAATGAACTGAGTGAAAAAATAAAACTAACATATTTAGTGTATTTTGTCTTTTGGATACAGTACACTGCATTTTTTGTGATGTCGAAATTTTAACATTATACTCGTGTTGTTTAGACATTCCAGACACCGAAACATTATTGTAATAATATATTAATTGTTCAAAACGGAAAATACTCGAATAGTACCATCATCGAATAGATGCATCTTAGTTATGAGGGGTGACGGCCCATCTAAACTATGATTCTTAACTGAGGATAGATGTAGGTATCTATTGGCTTCCACATAACAGCAAGTGGACTGTGTGCTTGTATGTTACACTTCTTCTATAAAAAATAAATAAACAATAAAATAAAAATCTTCATCAGTCTTTGAAATGTACTATAGTCAACCAAATCTAAGAAATACCTTTTGACGTTTCACATTAATAATTCAGCAATAACTTTGCACAAGCGTACTCACACGATGTAAAATAACCATTTACGTAAATCCGAAGAATTATAAAGTTATCTATATTTCATTACAACGTGTATAGTTCTTTATCACTAATTTAAATTTGAATCTTTCAAACAAAGCAAAATATTAAAAAATAACAAGTATCAACTTTTTGTACTTGACGTCGTTTCAATGATATGTCGCTATGTACATAACCGTAGTGTTTGGATGATTAAAATTAATTGTTATGCGAATTATCGCAAAAATATTCCAATAATCGGTAAAAATATTCAAATAATCGAATAATTAATTTTTAATGTATAATTTGTTTAATTTAATTTTTATTTTTAATATTCCTTAAATTACATGAATCATGAATAAAACAAGTTTTTTTTTTAATTTTCAACGTAAATGAGATGGCCAAAATGTGCCCCAAGCTGTACAAAAATAAGACTATTGCTATTAATTTAAATAAAATAAAAAAAAGAATTTTAAATAATTATTAACATTTCATAGCAGCTGTTGAAAATTAATCAAGTTTAAAAGTATTTAAAGTGATTTCTTCTCTTTGACGTCACTCTATAGCACCTTTAATGTGGCCATATAATACTTAAAAAGATCAAAGTAGGGAAAAACAATAGCTAAACTCATAAAAATACTTTATCGTTGATATGTTATGTATAAAAACAAGCCTTCAATTAATGAATCAATACATCAAAATAATCAAAATACATTAAAGGATAGGATTTTATTTATTTGTTTAATACAGCAACAGCTTAAACATGTAGCGTTACATTATAGGATAGGGTTATTTTACTTTAGTACTTGCAACACTGAATCCGTCCGTCAAGTATCAAAACAAAGTTTCACTCGGTATATGATAAATGTGTACGCTTTTCCTTCGTATTTGTGTTTCATCGTATTTTATTCTTATTTAATAAGTGCCGTAGCCCCACTCGAGTGCTCCACTAATTATAAACGGTGTAATACATAAGTTTAATTATTTTCTGTCTAATATACTTCGATCAGTATTAGTATTAATATAATATTACAAAAAATAGTTACAAATAATAATTTCAAAGAATGAAAAAACTGCTGTCCTTGTTTTTTTAGCTAAAGCAGTTAGGATACATCCCATTCGTCATGCATATACATTAACCTACGTAACACTCATGAATTGGAACTTTATTAATATCTACATTGTGTAATTATGATAAAAACCGACTGCCAAAATCAAATTTTTAAAATCTTCATAACTTTTGTCTACTACTGCGTAGCTACATGCACTTTTCTAATTCTTTATATAGAAGATCTGTACTTTCAAATGACATAGATTTTTTCTCTGTACAGTCTGGGGCACAGATTCATACAATTTTTGGCCATCTCCTTTATGTAGGCAAAAAAAAACTCATATACAAGGCCGCGATATAAAAACCACTACGTAATTTCAATATCCCGCCTTTTCGGGAGCTTACTGTGCGTAATTTTTTGATTTTGTGTTTGTCTTCTTATTTTGTGACTCGGCTTTAACTTTTTGGACCGTTTCTTCAATATTTGTTGAAGCATGTGCCGATTTCACAAAGGATCATTGGGCAAAAGTGGTAGAAAAAACAAAAAAATTATTATGGATGACTGAAAAAGACATTAATTTTAACTGCATTATTGAAATTAAAACAACGACAGCTCATATAGTTGTACTAAAAGTGATTGAATAAATTTATTTTTAATGTAGTTACGCAGTCTGTTCAAAAAGTATCGCGAATTTTGTATTCGATACTTTCTAATATCTATTTTTCCTCCTTGTGCCAACGTTTTTTCCAATCCTCGAAGCACTCAAAAAAATCATTTATCGTGATTTTTCGTCTTTATCTCCTCAATCTTGGCGTAGCGTCGTCCTTTCATGAGCCCTTTCAGTTTTGGGAACAGGAAAAAGTCACAGGGGGCCAGGTCTGAGGAATACGGTGGCTGTGGGACCATTACTGTGTTATTTTTGGATAAATATTCGCGCACAAGCAACGATGTGTGAGCAGGGGCGTTATCATGGTGCAAAAGTCAGTTTTGGTTCTTCCACAAATCCGGGTGTTTCTGGCGGATTGCTTCGCGCAAATTGCACATAACTTGCAGGTAATATTTTTTATTGACCGTACTATCTTGTGGCAAGAACTCATGATGCACCACGCCCCTGCCTTCGAAGAAAACTGTGAGCAAAACGTTCACGTTTCACCGAACTTGGCGTGCTTTTTTAGGTCTTTGCTCATGCGGCAGCTTCCATTGGGATGATTGAGCTTTGGTTTACACGTCATAACCATAAACCCATGATTCGTCACCAGTTATAACCCTCTGGGTCACGGACCGAGTCCAACATCTCCTGAGCAAGGTTAACGCGATGCTGTTTTTGGTCGAAATTGAGCATTTTGGCAGGAATTTCGCGGTGACCCGACTCATGCCCCAATCATTACTTACAATCGAATTGCACGAACCAATCGATATGTTTAGGTCCTCAGCAACTTCTCTAACGGTGATTCGACGATTGACCAATAATATTTTCTTCACTTTATCAATGTTATCGTTTGTTATTGACGTGCTCGGGAGTCCGGCACGCTGTTCGTCGTTCACATCTTCTCGGCCCTCTGAGAACATTTTGTACCACCGATAAACGTTGCTTTGGTCAAAGGTAGCTTCACTATATGCTACAGTCAACATTTGGAATGCGTCGGCGCACTTTATTTTGTTTTTCACACAAAATTTAATACAGATTCTTTAATCCATTTTTTGGAATAGGCAAAAATCGAAGACGAGCCAAAACATATCCAAGAAAAACAGCTGTCAAAAATCAACTAAACATTCAAACTAGCCGACCTTATCAGCATAAGTAAGGGACATGAGTACCAACATAAAACTACAAAAAAATCAAAAATCAAAAATACGTAGCCCGTAGGGTTTGGGTACTTTTCGTAATTTTAGTTGTCTCGAGTCTCGGGACTTTTAGGTTGAGACTTGAGACGAGACAAGATTGTCGAAATTGTTATGTAATCATTTTTATTTTCAAATAATTGAAAGTGCCTGGCACCATCTGTTGGTTCAATGAGTAATTACTCGGTCTTCTACATAACTACTGAGTACACAACACAATAAATGTGTAGTTGTTGTTGTTTGACGTTAATAAAATTAGTATGATTTTTAATTAAGTTCGTTTTATAACTATAAGATTTATCTGTTTAAAAGTGGCGGTTTTAGGGAAAAACAGTTCTCTATACTGCCCGTTGCTCCACTCAGTTATAGGTTTCCTCCCAATGGTTTTGATTAGCGCCGAGCACTTAGTAAATAAGAACAACTTTACGTATGTGGAGATTGAATTTGTGTGTTATTAAAAGAAATAAACAAAGCAATTATTAAGACTGAAATTAACTTTAAACTTATTAAGATTTAATTTTCTGTTTAATAAATGATTTTTACAAAACAATGCCTTTTTAATATGTTTCATAAGGAAATAACTCAATTAAAATTCTTCAAAAAAGGCTTAGCTCTCTTAAATTTTTTTTTCTTAAGTCTCGAAGTCTCGGGAATTCCCGGGACTTTGATTGTTGGCTATCTCGTGTCCCGGGAATTTAAAATTGTGGGGAATTTCCAAACCCTAGTAGCCCGCGGAAATTCAAAATTCGCCATACTTTTTGAACCGACTTCGTATAATCTTAAATTTTTATAACTGTGCCTCTCTAGAAATAAACAGTACCTAACAACAAATACGTAGAAACTGATAAATCTTGTGTTTTAAATTATCCATTTTTAATTTATTCTGGTATTATTCAAACCAAACTGTAAATGATTACCAATTTTAAATATTCGATATCGATTTTTTTAAGAATCGAATATTGTACGTTCCCATTTTTTGGTTGGCATGCTTGGTGCAATAAGTCTGACAGCTGTCAAAATGTATTTCTTAGATTTGGTTGACTAGAGTGTACCTTTTTGACAGACACCAAGGACGTATTCCTTGAAAGGTTTATACATTCTCACTGCGTTGATCAGGCAGTTTGATGAGTGAGGAGCCGATTGTTATAACTAGTAATGCTTCTCCAAATCAAAGTTTTTAGGGTTCAGCATTTTTAAGTGGGTTCTGGGCCCTCAAGCAGAAAAACTTCATTACTATGTACAGATAAGGTTGATACTTATGAGGTTTGTATATTTCCCCTAATACTTTCTACTTACAATATGAGAAAATTATCTATTTATTTATTTTCTAGAAAATTGAAAACTGCAGTTGCCATATGCCCGCCAAGCGAAACTATTAGAGAATGTTTAGCAGGTTGTTGGATAGTATGTAACAGTAAATTTATATAAAAATAAAAGGCGTATTTTATAAAACACAGGAACTATTTTATGAAACCAAATGGACTAGATCAAATGCTACAGGCAACTCCATGAAAATCATATCTGAATCAGTTTCCTACACATTATATACCTATTGAATTTTCTTATACCAGTATTAGAGAACATATTATATTAGTATCATCAGCACTCTTATAATCACTTAAAAAAAAGCTACAGCCTATATACGTCTCACTGCTGGGCACAGGCCTCCCCTCATTTCTCAGAGGGTTTTAAGGCAAGGAAGTATCCGCCGCGCTGCCCCAATGCGTGTTGGCGAACTTCACATGTTTTCGAAATATTTTTTTCCTTATTCCTCAGACATGCAGGTTGCCTCACGATGTTTTCCTTCACCGCCGAGTACATGGTAAATCAGCACTTAAAATTGCAATTAACAATTTCATAAGTGCCGGTAGGGATCGAACCCGGGTTACTCGCGTTCTGTTATATTTACAGCGAGCGTTAACCATCTGAGCTACCACGTCTCTATAATCACTTATTTTAATGAAAATAGAACAAACAAATTTGTGAATGAAATTTTTAAATAAAGAAGGTAACAAGCATTCTGTCTTGGGGCAGCCAGAGGATAACAGTCTCCGAATAAGTATAAGCTAAGTACCTTAGTCCTCAGGGTTGTATTATAAAGACACATTTATCAATCATCATCTTGTAAACTCTTTACCTAAAAGACTCAATATCGTTTTAATATTATAATAGTATTCTTTTAATTACCTTGCAATAGAATTCCAAATACCGCCTGTGTTGGTGTCCTCGTTATCAGCGAGAAGGTCGAGATGCTGCTTATCCGGCTTCTTGCTGACGCGAAGTTTGATAACGTGACTACGGAACGACCCCATCAGCACTTGGATGTCCGCACTAGCCGCCGTCGTCTCCGTGTTCTCGTGCCTGAGGGACTTCTTAATATTAATATATCATGGACAACTTGTGAACAATCTGCACATCGGACGTGTCCAACGGACACAAAAACTCAAAACCACATTAGAATGATCCATTATAAAATATTAATTTTAAGAAAAACTAATACGTTTATCTATATTAAAATCGTGATAAACAGGATACAACACTCGGATGTCGTAAAATTCTTTATATGAGTAACATCATTATTGTGTAATAATAATGTACACCAGATCGAATTTCGGTCACAGCGGCCTGCCTCAACGGAGACTATAGATCTTCGTAGGACAGGATAATAGTGCGCAAGTGTATGCACAAGCACAGGTGCACTCTCCAATCCCTCACTCTCACATTCCAATAGGACGGTAAACCGAAACGACGGGAGAGAGAACAGGCGCAATCAACGGCTTTTTGTGCTTACCGAGGCATGGGAGTGAGACACCGTCAACTTCCCGATTCCGGGCAGCTACTGAGAATTTCTGTTATGTAATAACTAGATGCTGCTGAACTCACATAAAAAAAATCTTATTCATCCAATCTATACCATTATATTTTTTAAAAAACGTATTTCATGTGTTACCTAAAATGCAAACACCTTTACAAAAAATTAACCTTTTAATTAACCGAATAAAATATCTTTGACTTAAGACTTTGAAGATATTATTACGAGCTTAGGGTTCGTGACAATAAAAACTGCCGATTGAATTATCAAAATTGACACTTTAATTACCATAACTTTAATTAATATACATGATACTAGATGGCGCTAGTGGCATTTACCGGCATCAACTATGGCGAGCAACAATATTTAACAGTGAAGTGGCTGATGACAAAGATGATTCGATGTACGAATTCGAAGTACTGATATATCTGCATCCCTATTTAAAACTAAGAATGTATTTACGTCGATCGACCGAAATAACAATTTAATATTAATTTATAGATCGTAAAAGCTTTTAGTATCAATTGGAAACATTGAAGACATGCATAAGGCATTTAAGCTTTAGGGTAGTTGTTTAATGGGAGTAAACAGGTTAATTCAAAAACAGGCAAATTAAGTGTACAACATAACATAACATAACATAAACACTCACGACTGTCACCCAGAAGGGTAGGCAGAGACTACAGACTTCCACTTAGCACGATCCTGACATACCTCTCTCGCCTCCTCCACATCCATATACCTACCTACGCATACATGCTCGTCGGATAAGGTTACTCTTAATTTGGCCCATTTTTAATATATCGCCATTTTGTTAAACGTTAAACGCTAAAACTTTCGCTTAGGACGTCCCTTTCCGACTCTTCCATTCACTTCTGCAACATATATTTGCTTTGTTAGTCTTTCCTCATCCATTCTTTCTACATGACCAAACCACCGAAGCATTCCTTTCTTAATGCTGGTCACCGCATCATCTTGCAAACCACACTCTTCTTTTATCACACAGTTTCTCACCCTGTCACTCAGATTCAGCTCTAACATACTTCTTAGCAACCGCATTTCTACTGCATTTATTCTACTCTCGTGCTTCTTCTGCCACCCAACTTTCACTACCATACGTTAAAGTGGGGACTAATACAGCATTGTGAATTGCCATACATGTTTTTAACACATTCTGACTTATCACAATAGACTTTACTATACTAACTTTATATCTTTTTATTCTAAACCAAGAGGCAAAAAAATTATAAATTAGAATTACATACTATGTTAATATGTAGTTCAAAATAACTTCTTAAATGTGTCTAAGTCCAAATAAGACCAATTAGAAACAAAAAATAATAATATAAAATCTTCATACCCGACAATCTCATATATGTCTTCAGAGCGTCCAGGTCGTAGGCGCAGTGTCCAGGCACCAGGGTTGGCCTTCAGTTGGAAATAGCCGAGGTTGGCCATTACTATGGTGTCCATGAGCTCCGGCTGCTCCCTGCTGCCTAGGATTAGCTGCAGCCCGCGGGGCGGCGTACCCAGGGTTGTGTCCCACGCATGCCCTTCCAGTAGTAGATACTCCAGTTCGAATTCACTAAAGACATAAAATGAAAAGTTCACTTTAATAGTCTGTTAGGCTAAATTTAATCGTGGCATAAATCTTCGTTCGGTCGTTCAACCATTTATTTTGCTTTTGACAGAAGGACACCTATGAAGTTTCACAATTATTGACAGGCCATACACATAAAATGCAATACTTTATGGACGTTGTTTTTCATACATTGTGTTTTATTCGTAATTTTTATTACTTATAACACACACAATGTATATAAAAAAGACATTACGAAAAAAAGAGACCAAAGAAATCATTTTTAAGGGTACTCAGGGTAGAGATAGCGGCCATTAAAATTAGTACCGGTTTCGTACATTTATTTTTTACTATTGAAATTGCTCCAACCCATAGGAAACAATATAGATATTTTTACACGTAATTATATGGTGTTACAGTAATTCAAACCAAAAACTATCAGGAAATAAGGTCAGCTTTTGACTGTGCGTCCCAAGTCATAACCACCGTACAAAAACCGTTAGTATATTCTCAATGGAGTTTCTATATGTATGTTTAAAATATTATGTTAAGTACACGTTAAAATTCCGTTGAAGTAAAAGTTGAGGGATCAGATGTGGTCGAGCGTAGGTGTAGGCACCTGTGCACGAGCGAGTCGACGTCGGCGAGGCGGATGTTGTCGAGGTCGTAGACGGAGCGCACGCACTCGACGAGCCAGTTGGGCGGCGTGCGCAGCTCTAGCGACAGCAGCGGCGCGTGCGGCAGCCGCGAGAAGCGCGCCAGCGCGCCCGCCTCGCCGCGCGCGCCGAACTGCAGCTCCGGCTCCAGCACGTACCGGTAGAAGCTGCAACGGACCATACGTCTTTAAATTTGCTTCGACAGTGAAGTCCAGTTTGATGTTGCAGCTACATATCCTCCATAACTAAGGGATCAAATAATTCGTTATGATGAGTGAGGACTATGAAGCATCGCACGCGGCGGAGGCTCTCCCCTCTCCCCTCGCTGCGACGCGTATTCACGTAAAACACACGGCCTTGTTCACGACACAGCCACACCCCGATTTATTTTTCATCTATGTCTACAATTCATTCAGCAAAGAAAAGACTAAGCCCAATTTTCATAGACGTCAAACTCCACTATATCATGCTGACATTGTGGAGTATGATATTAACGTAGCATGATCTGGTTGGTTTTGTGTAATATAGTATAGACTGTTAGATTTTGTGTAACATAGTGTACACTGGTAGGTTTTGTGTAACATAGTATGGTCTGATTGCTTTTGTAAAACATAATACGTTCTAGAAAGGTTTGTGTAACGTAATATGGTCTAGTAGGATTTATATAACATAGTATGGTCTGTTAGGTTTTTGTTACATAGTATGGTCCGGTAGATTTCGAGTAATAAAAAATATGGTCTGATAGGTTTTATGTAACATAGTATGGACTGGTAGGTATTTTGTAACTTCGTTTGAACTGGCTGCTTTTGTGTAACTTAATATGGTCTGGCTGCTTTAGTGTAACATAGTATGGTCTGGTAGGTTTTTTGTAACATAGTATAGTCTGGTTGATTTTGTCACATAATAAGATCTGATAGGATTAGTGTAATATCGTATGGACTGGTAGGTTTTTGTAATATAATATGGTCTGCTAAGTTTTTTGTAACATAGTGTGATCTGATTGATTTTATCTAACATAGTATGATCTGATAGGTTTTGCGTAACATCGTATGGACTGGTAGGTTTTTGTAATATATTATGGTCTGCTAGGTTTTTTGTAACATAGTATGGTCTGATTGATTTTATGTCACATAATAAGATCTGATAGGATTAGTGTAATATCGTATGGACTGGTAGGTTTTTGTAATATAATATGGTCTGCTAGGTTTTTTGTAACATAGTATGGTCTGATTGATTTTATCTAACATAGTATGATCTGATAGGTTTAGTGTAACATCGTATGCACTGGTAGGTTTTTGTAACATAGTATGATCTGCTAGGTTTTATTTAACATAGTATGGTCTGGTAGGTTAAATGTAACATAGTATGGTCTGGTAGGATTTTGTAACAGTATGGTCTGGTTACTTTTGTGTAACATAGTACGGTCTGTAACATTATATGGTCTAGACTCAAATTTAGACATTTTGAACAATCTATAGCTACAGTTTTCTTTTCTCTATCGGATTTTTCACACACACATCACAGCCTTTCAATCAAAATTTTTTTTATATATTTTCTCACACGCTCCTGTACAAGATAGAAGGCTCAGATCGTTGAAACAGCCTTTAAGAACTATACTTAAATGCGATATAAATATCAGATTTTTAATATAAATATAAGAAATAATTGATGATTGAAGATAATATAAAAAATAATTGAGTAGAAATACCGTAAGTATCAGAATATAAAGTTTACAAACATACCTTTTTAATGGCATGTCAGAATTCTTGTCCTGAGGATTGAGGAACAGCTTTATGCGGCAGTTGACCACGCGACGCAGCACTAAAAGTAACGGCGCCAGACGCTGCGCCGCCGTCGATGCTGGGTCAAGTACTGCTACGATCTGCGTTTTAAAACAAATTTTAATTAATTATGATAAAATTATGTGGATAAACTTTTGTACACTCATTTTTATTTACACAATTCACAAAATTATTATTTTACGGATATACTACTGATTGAATTATTGTTGATTTTACCACACTAATTTAAATATGGTACAGGCTACGCTGTCGCTATATTATAGCAGCATAACGAATAGGTTGCCTAAACTGGGCAAAGACGACATTTGTGCTATTTTGTTGCTGAGTAACCGTGAGTTTGTACTAACGCGATTTTCACAAAAAAAACTTGTTTTAAATACTGTTTTCTGTCAATGTATCAAAAAGTGTTTGCATAGTCAAAGAACATGTTGTAGTGAAATATGTTTGACAGTTTATTGTACATTACATATTTTAACTATATTATATCTTTATAACTACAGAAACAAAATGTTTGAAAACAAATTTGTAGAAATATTGTCATGTTGAAAAATAAGTTTGAATATCTGTTTAAAATTTTACACAGGTTTTGTGAGTGCGAACGTCATCATCAACGAAACATGTTGTGCGATTTATTTTATGCGATTTGTTTCAAAACATTACGTGTTGGATGTTTCTCAGTGCAAACATACTGTAAGACATTCACTCTTAGTTCTCTAAGATGACGAAGCATCGGCATTTCGATTCTCAATTAAGAATAGATGTATTTGTGGACTGATTGAGATTAACGGATTGAGATTAACGGATACGCACACGCCGCCACGACACATCCGTGTCGTGGCGGCGTGTGCGTATCCGTTATCCCATTTTGTCCCGTGAGTGTTGTGAAAGGCGACAGAGGGAAACAAAGTAGAAGATGGGCAGCAGCATCTTTCTAATAACAATTAAATAAAAAAATTGCGGTTGTCAGCTCGTCCACTTAGCGTGGCAACCGGCAAATATGAGGCAATCTATTCCCCCCCCCCCTTACCCCTCCCCCTCACCTATGACGCAATCTATGGAAGAGGCCTATGTTACGCAGTGGACGTCTAATAGGCTGTGACGGTAACAGTATGTATCATCACACGCAACAAAAGAACGAGTTACTGGTGTAAAATATTCAGACTAGTGATATGGACCAAATATGGGCGTCTAATATTGCGATCTCTAAGCCGCCTACCAAATTTCGATCAGCCCTACCAATGATCTAAGGAGGCAATTTTGAGTTCATAATAACGCTACACACAAACCTCGACGGCAGCCTCGTCTTCGTACATGGGCGACAAGTCGACCAGCGAATGTTCAGTGCGAAGTCCGGTCGGTAGCGGCGTTCGCACCTTCGGACTTCGCGCCGCCAGCACCGATATTATCTTCAAGTAGTTGTCCGTTGAAAGCTCTGGCGTTTCCTCATCTATGTCAAAATTAAGATTAATCGTTTTAGTAAATTTTGTGTTTATTATTTGAACGTTAAACTCACATTTGAAAATTCTTCCGCATTATGTGTCCATGTGCAGTTTATGTATGTAATACGCTCCGTATTACATACATAAACTGCACATGGACAATCATACAGACCCAAAAATTATTTGAAGACCATAAATATAACTTTACTATGCAGGATTAGAATCCATTACCTAAGCACCGCAGCTACATGCTTAAGCAAGCTGTTAATTATTACTTATTATTTGTGACATTATGATACAACTGTTTTAAAGTAATTCGATGAGTATTTACACCGACTAAAAAAATAAAAAATATATATTTATGACATGTTTTGTAAAAAGTAAACGATAAACATGATTTCTATTCATAAAAATGAGTTATAAATTTTATAAATCAATTTAAAGATTTTTTTTTATCTGGGCCTCATATCTCTAAAACGCTATCCGCCATATTAAAGTCCGTCGTGATGTCACTGGTTAAGCGAACTAGCTAACGTGCTGTGTTATTTCGAAAATTTTCAAGTTACCATTACGATTGTTGAGTTTTATTCCGAATTTTATTGAAAATTGATTTACTAATCTACGAAGAAAAAATACATTGAAAGTGGCAATTTTTTTGCATTCAATCCAGATTTTTGTTCAGCCGAGTTAATGAATTTTAAAACATCAATGTATACAATAACAAAATACCAGATCCGATTGTATTTTAATAATATATAGTTATGTTTATCTATGATTATTGATTACAATCACTAGCAATCATTAATTATAATGTCTAAGATAACCTAATCTATTACAAAATTTGACTTGCAATACTTACAATCACCTCATGATGTTTTTATTTTCTATAAACGACAGTGAAATATAAGACATACATAAAAAAATGATTTTCACGGAAGTCTAGTTTTTTTTAATGCAAATAATGTATTAGGATATCTTCTTGCCAGTTTTAACCAAGTATCTCATATTTAAATCAGTTGGCAGTTGAATTCGTAATTTCCCCGGCGTTCTTATGCTCGTAATTTTGCATTCAAGCACAAGACACCAATGATAAAGGTGATAACTCATTATTAAACTTCCAAAAATATCTTATTCCTTCGTAAAATTGGCAAAATCCTAGGGCAGTGACGTCACGAGCTTTACAGCATGGCGGCTAGCGTTTTCACGCGAAAATTTAAGAGGATAAATTAAAAATAACTTATAATGCAATATTGGGTTTAAAAAATCCTATGAAATTATAGTGATTCATTATCACCCTAGGATTAATTTAAAACGGTATTTGAAAAAGGTTGTAATACCATATTTATATTAAAATTTTCTTGATTAATTTTTAATATAAATAATTGAAAAATAAAGGATGACCGAGCTTTGCTCGGTTTTTTTTTAAATTACATTTAGATACAAATTACATACTGATGAATAATATTTTTTGATCTTATTGACATAATAGAAAAAAATTAACTGGTTATTTGAATAAAAAATCATGAGTGCAATTAGTTTAATTAAAATTTTTGTATTTTTAAAAAGTACTAAAAAAAGGGCTCGAAATAATAGATTTTCTTACAAAAGAAGGGAACTTGAAAAAAAAAGGAAAAAAGTCGGACCGAAGACAGGAAGCTAACCAAGGAACTATGATTTCGCGACCGCTCGATATACACTTACGATCATTACTACAGCTATTATGATAATTAACACAGTGTCAAAATTTACCTTCTTATATTGTAGCAGTTTTTCATTGTCTGAAAACACGGACAAAAAAAACATTTTCTAAAAATAAATCCTAGCTAGATCGATTTATTGCCCCCGAAACTCCCTGGACACTAAATTTTTATGAAAATCGTTGGAGCCGTTTCTGAGATTCCGAATATATATAACTTTAAACGAGCAATTCTTATATATATATATATAAGAATTGCTCGTTTAAAGGTATAGGATTTCAGTATTTTTAATTTGAAGCAGGTGAAATAAAAAATAAAGTATTAATGTGAGTGCAATAACAAATGTAAATATACCTAACGTATCGTCATCGAAAACATCGTTTTTCAATTTTTTCTTTTTATGTAGGACTTCAGCTATTTTGTCTCCATAAACTTGATTGCTAAATCTGAAAAAAAAAAGATAATTTTAACGAGGTTTATTATATTAATTGAACTCATAATCGACAACAGACAGTAGCTACTTCAAATGTTGTCAGACGAAATATTCAGATTGGTGACAGCAGGGATATAATGATTTCGTGTAAGCGTACACGACACCCTATATACATCCTTTTATATTCTGAATACTAAATAGTAATTATTCAGTGATGTCCCTGTAATCACTTGTAAACCGACCGCGATCATCTATAGGTTAGGCACATTGAATCTTAACATCAAACTAGAGTTTGAAATGAAGTCAAACCTCCATATTGACTAATCTAGAACACTGTGCTGGCTTTCTCGACCTCGAGCTAAAAAACGTTTCTAGTATTTGACAATGTCAATGATAAGCCCATGGAAACTGTTCATGGGGCCAGAGGAAAATATTGCAACAGAACATAAAAACTCTGGAGTCTGTCAAAGGAGCACGCGTGTTTTTCAGCAGTGAATTCTAATTGTGAATTTCACGATTTCAACGGTAAATATCAGATTTTATTGGACATATATAGTATTATGCACGAATAACTAATATTATGCAGGTAGCGTAGATATGTTTAATATTCAGCTCGATGTCGAGTTATGTCTATTTATAACCTTGAAAAATCGCGCTTTAACGTTACTTCAACGTAGCTTTGATGTTACTAGTAACGTTGATTGCATGTTTCTTAACGTTTTACTGTTGTAAAGGTTTGTGCATATTGTAATTTATAAAATATACTTTTTGTTGGCATAGCAACCTTATCAAAAATATCAACCTTTTTCTAAAAGTTTTGATCGTGTAGAGTAACGAAAAATCCGCTTAGTATTTTTTTATTTGATGTGCAGAGGTTTATTTCTATGTTACCGTAACATAGAAGTGTCTATGTTACTGTATGTTACTAAGTGGCAAAATCTACAGCCTTACTCATCTGCATTTTGATTCGTAATCGAGGATAGATGTAAATGTCTATGGGCCACAGCAACCACTTACCATCAGGTGGACTGTGTACTCGTTTGTCACCCAATCCTATAAAAAAAAACATGTACCAACCTGTCCAACAGTACAAAGTCGTCCAGTGTGAATGCCTCGCCAAGCGCGAACGGTCCTATGAGCCTGGCGTTGTGTATCACAGCGCGCTCGCCTGCACGTAGCCGCAAACTGCGCGCGCAAAGCACCCGCGCCGCCTTCAACACCCACTCTTGCTTGTTCAACGCCGGGATCAATTCCGGCTGTGACAAACATTTTTTTTAATAAATCTAAAGTGACAAACAAATAGTCCGCTTGATGGTAAGTTAGCTAACTACTTCAAACAAAAAAGCTACAGATGTGTTAATTTATAAAAAAATAATATGATAAAGTTACGCCTAGCGCCACCTAGTGTTAAGTATGTAAGTCACATGTTGTAGTTTTAGATTTGTCTCTGGCTGTCTTGTTCAATAAATCAGTTCGTTCCAAGTGAAATAAGCAAGCGCATTGTTTTATTAAGATGCGTTGTCACCTTTGAGAGATAAGATGGACTACTTCACATCTTCAACGGTAATTATACTTGCTCTCTATATACTTCAAACTTGGACACAGCAGTGCAGACACTGCCATTTGGGGGCAAAATTAGTTAAGAATTAAGGTGGATTAACTACCGACTTCATTTTAGTATGCGAGCATTATATATATATATATATATATATATATATATATATATATAATTTTATATAACAATATGAGACAAAAGTTAGATACACCACAGGTGTAAGTCAGACTTAATTTAACCACTGAGCGGGCATATTATATTAGGCATTTCCTTATGATAAAGGGGTTCAATGTATCTGTGTTATGTCTGCATATAATTTTGTGCCGCTATATCCTGTGCTAGATATCAATAAATTCGATTCCTCTATAAATTCCTAACAATGAGTGTCATCAGTATAAAGCGAAAAATTATTGTTAACATATTCAAACAGTTAATACCAATATCTCGCAGTCCTGTCGTTCGTGGCAGCCCTCGTCTTCCAACAGTTGCGTTACGTACTTAGTGGCGTGGGCTGGCTCTAACACTGCTAGGGCGGATACCACCACCTTGTTGAGCGACTGATCAACGGACCCACCCTCTACATTTGGTATGAAGGCCACACGAACACCGCCCGCTTCCCTCTAGTGAACAATTCGAATTATTTTTAAGCATTCTGTTATTAATGGTACGTAATTAAAAAGTAAGTAACAAATATAATACATATTATTAAAACAAAAAATGATAACTAAAACTCTTTGCTTATAAAAACATATTATGAATGGAGATATGGATCTGTATGGATTTTCTATTTATAGTCAAATAATTACTACTGTATTAAATGGGTGCATTAATTAATTCTAACTATGTAAAAGTTTCACATATGATTGCTAATTTTGCTTTTGTGGGTATTTCTCTTGTTCCATTCCTAAAATGTGGCAAACAGCTTTATACATGATTATTTTGCAATATACGGCCAAATTTGCAGAGAAGGTTCAGAATAAGTAATATGGGCGAATTGTGAAGAAAAATTATAAAAAAAAACTCAAACATTCTGTCCTTTTTATCTTTTAAATTCAGAATGCGTGGTTAATGCATTATTTTAATATTTTTATTGTCATTCATATATATCTAAAGCCTACTATTTTACTACGCACGCACACATTCGTAAGGGTCGATCGGTTGGAAAAAACGTTGTGAATTAAATCGCAATTCGCAAACATAGGAGCGCGCGTACGCGTTATTGTTGCCCATAAATCACATTCAATTTGGAATAATTTCAAATAAAAGTAGAAGTATTTACTCATATTTCCAAAATCTGCAATAACTGTATATCATTGTTTATATATTTGAACTTAAGGCCGAATACGAAGAGAACTGGCGAAAATTAATGTATTTCTCTTGACTAGAACTTTGAGCTGAAGTAATTCTAAGCTTTAAAACATTTTTGTAGGTTTGTTCGGGTCCTTCACAAGGTGACCGTCATTTTAAAATTTTAAAATAAATGAATATACCAACAAATAAAAAAATGTTAAGAAATGATATATAAAATTATTGTCCTTCCAAAACTCTGTGAATTTTAATTTAGGAAAAATTCTTTTCCGTAAAAATGTTTGTATTGTGATTCCGAAGGGGCCTGCTATCTTTATTTTCGATACAAAATATTATTTATTAACATAATTCGTTTTAATTAAAAACACCTAATAATAATATCGTATATCGCCAGATAAAAGTTTGCCGTAATAAATTACCAGGCGCTTCGACGTGTGACGTAAGGTAACAGTCGATGTGTCTGTAGCGAAAATCGTTAATTTAGTGTTTTATACGCGTTTAAGTGACTATAAATGTAAATATGGGTAGGAAAAGAAATAAATGTTACCTAAGTGGTAAAACAAAGAGAGTTTATCGCATGAACGCTGCTCGAATGTTGTATTTTGAGGTTAATACTTATATTTTTGTAAGGTAATTTTTTGTTTGAGGCTGCCTAATAGGTTGCATTTTTACTCATTTACATTAGCCAAACTGATCATTTATACTTTTCTATTTTGAAGTTGAGAAACACTAAAAATGTAAATATCAAGACCCAGTCGGAAAAGAATGTACAGAGTAGTGCAAGCACAGAGACCGCAAATAATGTCATAGTCAATGTATTGTCCGAAAGCATGGGGTAAGTACATAATTAAGAAAAACCGAAATATTTCGGATGTGATGTGATTGACCAGTCGGAGTAGTCTTGTGAGAATTTACATACACAGTACCTATCCCCACTATGGGGCAATCACCGACTTTTTAGTTTTTTTTTCTTTATTATTTAATGCAATTTGCATTACGGCATCTTGTAAGACTCACAAGAACAAACATTTTCAGTTATATGAGGTTCTTTACGTACGATGCACCAATTAAGAAAAAAAATCGTTATCAATTCAATAACTTTTCGAACAATATTTTATAACGAATAAAGTACAGAATTTATAATCTATAGGAACTAATATTATAAATAAGAAAGATTTATTTAAGAAGTAAGCTCTCTGTGTTGTTCATTACTGCATACTGAGCTAGCTCAGTCAAATATAATATAGGTAATCAAAGCCCGTACGGCTTTGATTATATTATACATGTCTATATAAACAAAGCGTACTGGCGGCGCGTGGTTTGCTGCGAAACGAGCAAGGTCATTCGCGTCGTATTCGGCCTTAAGTATAAAATTGGGCTACTCTTGAAAAATAACCCTGCATAAACACACTTTTATAGCAAAAACATAAGTTTGCGACAAGGAAGAACAAGAACAAGACAATGAAGAAGAAGAAAGATGTCAATCCGGGGTTAATAATACAATTAAGTTGTAATATTCATAGAATGATGTTTTTGATATGGTTTTAATAGTGTTTCAAAATGATTTTTAATAACTTGGTACATTTTTAATATTTACCATAAATGTTAATGCGTTCCTTAACAAATCTCTAGATTCCTTCATGTTAAGATCTCCAACTACCCAAATTGTTTGTGTTATTTTATCAGGTTTCCCAGGCTTCATGAAATATTTTAAAATTGGTAAAGCAGTAGCTAATGCGTCACGTCCTGTAAAATAAAAAATTGAAGTAAAAAAACAATTGGATTGTATAAATTCAATCATATTATTCAGAATAATGAAATTTTCAAGCAAATTAAAAAAATACCTGTCAAATGTAGCAACCGATGCAGTTTGTCTTCACTGAATAATTCCGGCGAAGAAGGGACACCAGATAAGTCCAAATATTGAGTAGGTTCTGATGCCAAAACGCGACGGTTCAATCTGTTACATGCAAAAATAATTATCTTAAGAGCGCATATTCAAATATGTCCAAGTCGAAATCTACGCGATCGCTTTGGAACGGCGTAATATTGACGCACACTACAATGTTATCTCTGTGTGCGTGTCAGGGCGAGCGTGAGGCTATAATAGTTGCCTAACGACGACTACGAATCACTTTGATCGTTGATTATATACCTGTCTTTGATACTGTTGGAACTAAAATAATAAAAAAAATTATTTCTATATAATGGCTTATATAGTGTATAGAAATCGGAGGCTAATATTTGGAAATTGTTTCATTCTTTTAGTAAATTGAAGTCGGCTTTACATTTTCACCCTATTGAGTATATTATAATATGTATATGTTCTAATTGAAAAATATGTATTGTATAAAATATATATCATTTGATAAACTTTTATTCTGTTTCATAATGTAAACATAATTCATCACAAACTAACAATTTCATTAGTGTCGGCGGGGAGTAGTGTTGCCAGGTCTAGCAAGTAAAATTTCGGGACGGAAGGTAAAAATAATCGGGGATTTGGTTTTCATATCCGGACAACTACAATGACTACAAAATATAGGTTTCTTTGTAGCCTTTTTGTGCTTTATTGAGAGCCGTGGTAGCTCAGATGGTCAACGCTAACTGTAAAGTGTAAATATCATATGCGAGTAATGCGAAAAATTGTGACTGTAACTTTACTTTTTTTTGTGCTTTATAATTATTATTCGGGTCTGATCTCATAAACGAATAACTTTACATCCAAACATCGTAAAAACTGATTTTGTTTTTCATTTTAAGCAAATTAAAACATTTTTGAACTATTTGTTTTTTTTTTGCAGTCCTTGAATTTTTCAAATCACTCATTTTAATATAATTCTGTTTAAAACTTTTGTGGTTTTTTTTCTAGTGAGACAATGTCGTAGTAAAAATATTTTAATGTGGTAGTAGCTAACAGATATAATCATTTTTGCTGTCTAAATTATGGATTAAAGTATAGAATAAGAATGTTAGTGAAAATGGGGACATTTGGCGTCCCGATCAAGGGTGAATCGGGACATGTCACTAGACCCTTGAAAATCGGGACGTCCCGCGCAAATCGGGACACCTGGCAACACTAGCGGCGATCGAGCCCGGATTGTTCGCGTTTACGGCGAGCACTACGCCCTTGAGCTATTCAACTCAAGCACGGCTCATATGTTTTATGTCTGGGGGCACGATAGTGCCCCCGCCAAGTCGAGCAAAACAGCGGCACGACCGTATCATCATTGCGAGACTTGGTTATTTTACAAGTTATGTTTTTGATGGCATGTCTTTGTTTAATCATAACGTTATCTCCGCACTAGGAATTTTTCCTAAGTACATCGTTGGGGCAGTTTAAATACATTAATTTCACAAGGACAAACATCCAGACCTGGAACAATTATTTGTAGGTAATACAAATTTTTGCTCAATGTGGGATTCGAACCTGCGGCGCTCAGCGCTACAACTCATTACCAAGTCACACCGCCACGGAGCCAAAGGTGAAAGCCAACGATTTTGTATTTTTACTTGATCCGAATTGCTTACGTTCATTACTCATTTCTAAAAAAATATGAATGAAATGAAAATTTGTCACCATTACATCATTTAATATTTAAATATTACAATCATAAACATATTTCAAAATTACTTACTACCAAAAATATCGCTTATAAAAGTCTCAATCGTTTAAAATGCGCGATGGTGCTATAGGTACTTAGTTATAGTATAGTGTAGTATATCCCGATCGGTGTATCAACGCGATCGCGCGGTGTCGGTGAGAAAAAGTGATACGTCCTGTCGTTGGGATTACCCGGAGCGTACTGAATCGAACAGTGCCTGCGCATGATGTTTTATTAGTATTTTTAAAATAATTATATAAAATAATTGACAAAATAAAACGAGCTAAATTTTTTTTTGGATATTTAACATTACATGTATTTTGATAAAAAAAATTAAAATAGATATGTTTATAAGCAAATACATGGAAAAAATTACATTGAAGTAGACAGTTTTGGTGATTTTATAATATTATTTTATAATATTAAATCGAAATATTTTCGTAATTTAGGTTTTGCTATACCCTAAAAGACTATATATTCCATTATAATAACGCTTAAAATAAAGTATTTTAGCTTATAATAATGGTTGTATTCAACCTGAAAGATAACTCTGATGCATATTTTCGTAAAACACTGTGAAGGGATTGTCTTCGCCCTAAAAAACTGTCATTAAAAACTATGATTTTGCATTGCTATGTACTAAATAAAGACTTCATCTTTCTAAAGCCCTAATTTTCAGCAAATAATCTCCTCACGTCGTTATGATATCGCCTTTGGAAAAACCATAAAACATGTAGTTTTCGACGCGAAACGCATATGCCCTCTTAATATATAAAAAATAATGTTTGTTCGTATTTTATGCACTTCCTTACTATTCACCAGGTTGTGGTAATACTTTATCAACTTATTGCCTGCGAAGTTTATAGGCATAGTACAATTAACTTACAGTAGGTGGTAAATTTATTTGAATCAGTAGGACCTTTGAAGCATTACAAGGGCACACTGTAATGCCATCATTGTTTAAACAAGGTATGTGCCTTATTTAAACAATGATGGCATTCGTGCATATTTCCGAGTTCAACATGTGGATTGCATGTTAACTGCAGTTAGCGCCGTCTCCGCCTAGATTATATGGCGGAAACTAGCAGACCATGTAGAGGAATGTTGAAATCTTATGAAAAGTTTCTGATCCTGACCCTGTATAAATACAGATCGTTGGCCCCCAAGAAGAATGCCCATTACCAGCAATAAGGTTCTTCGGTTTTCGTCACTCACAAAATTAAATTTAGCTGTTTCATGAAACTTTTTATTTACATCTTTTTAATTATATAATTTATATAATTTCAAAGTGTACGTGAGAGCGTGTTCTAACAAGTTGCACATGGTTTCGATCACTTGACACGTAGCTCTCGGTGTATGTACGTGTGTGTTGGCGTGAGCTGACCTGGGCATGATGTGCGGTTGCTTCATGAGGTGGTCGAGTGCGTCGTCGGAGTCGGCGAGCTCGGAGCGGAAGACGGTGCGCTGCAGGCGGGCGGTGTGGCGCGCCAGCGCGCTCACCAGCGCCTCCTCCAGCAGCTCTACGGACGACATGGACGAGCCCGGGCCCTCGTCCCACAGCGGCACACCGTTTATCAACACCTGCCGGTGTTACCAACAATACTTCACAATACCATTTATGAACAACAATGACGTGCGCCGATGAGATATGGCTTACATATAATTGCTCCGGTTAGATGTTTGTGCTTGTGAAATTTATGTATGTAACTGACTCCATGATACATGAGAGAATCCTAATATGGGGGTAACACTTTATTTATAAAAAAAAAAGATTAACTTAATTCTCTGATTACAGAGACTATAACGTCATTAGTTATTACACTGTATTTTCGTATTTATATACAATTTCTATACAAAATATTTCAATTGACATGAATGAGTATAATTAATACTCAATTATACAAATCTCTCATAAATCCAACGTCCTTGGAGGCGTAGCACGGTAAATGCGTTGTACAGGAGGATCATCAAAGTATTAAATACAAATTGAACCAATAACCTTCAGTTTCATTCAATCATTTACTTGTATTAAAAGATGATTCTACAATATTATACATTATACAATATATATTCTACAATAAAATATAAAAGTGATTTTCGTGACGTTTAAAGAAACATGAAGATTAAATGACTATGATAAAATCTACGATAGGTCTGACGGAGAAAGACCAGGATTTTTTTTTTGTAAATTTAATAAAACTTACAAGAGGATACTTATTGCTTCCAATCTTGGAGATAAATTCTTCTGCCAATTGATGGCCGAAGTTGTATTCGGAGTCCTCAGAAACAATATCATCTACATTTGTACTAGAGCTAACATATTTCTTCAATTGATTCTTCACATGTTCTAATGTTATATTGTCTTCTTGAGAGGAGTGTATCAACTGAAACATACATTTTAATAATATTAATGTTTTCAATAAGATGTGTTCAAAAAGTGGGATTAGAACACTTTTATGTTGAGAATATTTAATTGAATAAGAGCCAACAGTCCTACTACTCCCCAGAACCAACGGTCATTGAAGCCACAGCCAACTTTAAGGACTAAAAGATATAAAACAATTATATTTAAATAATAGTTGTGACAAGCCAATATATTAACAGTATATTGGCTTGTCACAACTTTCAAACTGGAACACCGCAGTGTAATGGTGCATAACTGATTAGTAACAGAAATTTGTAAGTGGACAATAGCTATCCAGTAGGTAGGTATCATAGAATACTATAATACATACATAATAGAACGGGAGAGTGGACGGCGCCCGCGTAGCCACTAAAATGTCACTAACATGTCAATTCACATATATAAATGTCAACACGAGATGTGTTTTGACGTTACAATCGTTTCCAAATTTCGCATGCAAATTATTTAGAAAATGCCAAATTGCACCCCATTTACAAATAAATATGTATTAAAATTTAAATGATTTTTTTTAATGATGATCTTGAACATTAATCAAAAGTCTAAAATGTGTAAATTTACTCAGTCTGTCAACACAACGATTCTGGTTTGGCAACGCCAATCCTCGTACAAAATAAGGTTGACTGCCATTCTATTGTGTATTATAGTATTCTATGGTAGGTATAGACAGTTAAAGTTATTAAGATCTACATCACAAGTTATCTATCGATGTCCTTATTCAACTGCCGTGTAATATTTCAGATTTGTTAAATATTTGCTCATAAACATTATTGATGTAGAAGCAATTCAAATTCCAATGCAAAAGTGAGTGATCGCCATTGTCATGCATATTTAATAAAATAAATAACATACCTGCATAAGGAAAAAGAACGCTTCTTTATTAGAGTTTTTATCCTGCGCGATATAGTTGAAAGCGGAACGCACGGCGGCCGATAGTACCGCATCTGTGCCGGGAGCCAAGACCAAGCCCACTCGAACTGGTGTCGCATGCTTCAGAAGAGTTTCACCCAGCTTTAAAGGCGGAACCGACGCCAATGACGTTGGGTCCACTACTATAACCTAAAAATAAAATTACACATATCCTCCACCAAATCTAAGAAATACCCTTTGACGTTTCACATTCATCATTTCATATTGTGAAATGATTAATGTAAAACATCATTCAAATGCATTCTTTAATTTATATAACTTTATCTCTTGAAATTAACAGTAAACTGATAAATTTTGTTCTGTTTCTAATTTTTTTTTATTTATTCTTGTATTAATCTAGATACTGAAATGAACTGTAAATGATTATTGATTGAGAATTGGCGAGAGAATAGACTAGAATAGAAAATAAAAGAATATAATAGAATAAAATCGAATAGAAAAGAATAATTTTTATACATTTAAGTACAAGTAATTCTTATAGTCATTTTTTTCTTTTACCACTGATTCAAACCTGGAAAAAACTTCTGTCCTGGGAGGAACCAGCAATGAAATCTAGAGGGATTTTCATTCAACTTAGGCGCGCAACACTGCCCCCTCCTAAGACATGCTCGTCCCGAGCATTATCGGCCCCATAATAACGCGCCAGTCGATCCACATGAACGATCTTAGGAGTACCTCTTGCACCTTTCCGAAACGGCTCCGCAACGTCAAGGGCTGTCCTATCCAAGGGTGCACCAACATTGTAAAATTTCAATGCTCCTCTACTACGAGTCTGAGGTCCCTTCAGAGATGCACAACTTGTACATTTGCGACACCAATCCTCGACATCGTCACGATAATGGACCCAGTAAAACTGTTCTCGGACCTTCAGTAGAGTTCGTTTAACTCCCAGATGGACTCCTGAACAACCATTATGGTACAGCTGTAGAACATTCCGCACTTTAGCTTTAGGGACAACTATTTGCAAGCGACAGCTGTTTCCTCGACCATTTATCATTTACGGCACAGGACTCCATCCTAAATCAGCATGCGATTCCATTGGGCCTAATAGCTTTTAGTGGTTGAACTCATCGCTGAGACGTCGCTCCACTTGGGCTTGGTAGCACGGGCCTTCATCCATTCCAGAATCGGCTTGATGTCCTTATCTTTCTCCTGTGCATGTTGTAAGCTGTCCTTCCACTCGTTGCTGAGATGGTCTGTCCTGAGCATCCTCATGGATACCACTTCCTTACCCTCTTTCCTAGTACTGTTCTCGCAATCATCAGGATAAGGACTTCTTGACAATGCATCTGTGTTGCCACGCCATTTCCCGCTGCAGTGTCCGATAGTAAAGTCGTATTCTTGCTGCTGCTGGGCGGTGCTGTAGGCCACACTACCCTTTCGAGATCGATCACCTTCCCTTTTTACAGATCACTTAGGGCAGCTGGGTCGAAGATGGCCCCTTTCTCCACAGCCATAGCACCTAGGGCTGTACCCATTATTGCGGTCGCGAACTGTAGCTGCTGCAACCTCCCTGACGTGATGGGAACGATGATCCTGCCACACGGCTTCAACCTCAAGTGCATGGGCCAAGGCATCCTTAAGCGTCTCGTGGTGCCCGAGCCTCACAGCAGCTCTGACTTCAAGGTCGCGGATGCCGTCGATGAATGTATGTACCAGGTTCCCTACAATGAGCGCAGGTAGAGACCGGTATGTTTTTCGCACCAGCTTCTCCACCTCAAGAGCCCACTGCTGCAGGTTTTCGTTGATGCGCTGCACGCGATCTTTAAGCTGCGCTCGAAAGACGTGTTTCAGGTGAGCGTCACCATATCTCGCCTCCAATGCCTCAAGGAGCTGCTCGTATATCACTTCCTTACCGAGGGCTTCCAGAACAGTTAAGGCCTGGTCGCGTAGGCCCAGCGTGAGAGCAGTCATGGCCTGACTTTTATCCAAGCCGTTCGCTTTCATGACAGCCTCGAACTGGATTTTGTAGGCCGACCAGGAAGAAGTCCCGTCGAACGGCGGCACTATGAACCCACGTAGCGGTGTAGTAGCTACTACGGGAGCTATATTTCCATCCCCAAGTTTGAGTTCGTCCAGCGTTTTCTTCACTTGGTAGATTTGGGTTTCAGCTTCCGAGAGGCGGTGGTCATGTTGAGCAAACTTATCTTTCACCTCCCTTATCTCTTTTCCAAATGTAGCGTGAAGGTCTTTCATGAGGAGCATCTGCTCTTCCTTATCGCGTTTGAGCTTTTCTTCTAAACGACGAGCCTGTTCCTCCTGCCGGTGGACCTGTTCCTCCTGCCGGTGGACATGTTCCTCCTGCCGGCGGACCTGTTCCTTCTGCCGGCGGGCCTGTACCTCCTGTCCACCCCGCAGCTGCTCTTCCAACCGACGGACCTGTTCCTCCTGTCGGCGGGCTTGTTCCTCCTGTAGGCAGGCCTGCTCCTGCAGCATCACCATCAGAGCACCTAGGTCAGGTGCTGCAGGTGTAGGGCTGACGGGCCAGTCTCCGTGGCTGGCAGTTGGCCCTCTGACGTTTGCTTCGTTGCACCACCAAATCGTCTCTGGTGCGTCTCCTGCTGGCGTTGGTTTCGGGTGCGGACACCCTCCATTTCGTCCTTAGGTAAAATCGGCATGATTTTATCCCACTTCTGACAGAAATTGTTACGAGCTTGAGGTTCGTGACAATAAAAACTGCCGATTGAATTACCAAAATTAACACTTTAATTCACTTTACACTAATTAAACTTAAAAGACACTAATAATTAATCACACTGATTCACTTTATTTCGCTCCGAAGCTTCGCTTGTGTCGCCAAATTCAATACTACCCCGATCGCGGCTATCAACGGCTTTATATAGGGCTCTTCCACCAAAACATCCAGAATATTCCAGCAAATACGGGCGCCGACCGACCAGGCGCAGAAAGTTCGAGAGTGGACCCTTCTAGAAAGCTTAATTCTTCTGTTCGATACTAGATAGCGCTGTTAGTGGAAAGTTCAAGATTGACATTTTCCAGGAAGCCCTCCTCGCTCTGTTCCCCGACACTAGATGGCGCTAGTATCAGGTACAAGACATCAACTTAGGCGCGCAACAATATATATATAAATTATATAAGTTACTAAGTTGAATTCAAATGACGGCCATGCCTATATCCATTTTTTTTTGACAATATTGTTCACCCGATTGCAAGTACACTACAAAATTAAACAATCGAAAACTCAAAATATCTTTAAAAAGGAAGTGTCACGAAAATATTTGGCATTGCAATATTTGTTTCTTTTTATAGAACAGGGGGCAAATATAAGTATGCGGCTCACCTGAAGATAAGTGACTACCACCACCCGTGAACAACTTCAATGCCAGGGAAGTCAACAACAGTCAACGCCAGAAGGGGGAATTGCAGGTGTATTGCCGGCCTTTTAAAAAGGAGGTAAAGCTCTTTTCTTGAAGGTCCCTAAGTCTTATCGGTCCGGAAAAATCGCCGGTGGTAAATAATTCCACAGAGAAGTCGTACGAGGAAGAAAATTCTTAGTAAAATGCAAAGTGATGATAGTGTGGATGGAATCGTAAATTTGGACGCGATGTGCATTCGTGAAAATAGCCCGTTGTAAACTAAACTAAACCACCTCGTTTATATTGGTTAAATTCCATGAAAGAATACTAACATAGTTATATATGTTTCTTCTTAGATTTCTCAGCATTCCTGGATATGTAGGTCTTAAAAGCTCCGTATACGAAGAAGGCCAGCGGCGATAGCGGTCATCAGTTTCCAAATCATTGAGCCATGTGATTGATGTGTCACGTATATCCAACCCATACTCCTCCCATGTATGAGCTTCGCCCAGTTCCAAAGACATTAGTGTGTTGATTAGTTTTTTCGTCATACCTGTAAGAGGGAACCCTAATAAAATATAAGCGTTTAAAGGTATTAAGTTTTTGAACGGGAGGGGGGGAATACTTTTTATCGTAAGGAAAAAATAGGCGAATGAAGTAGAGCTATGAAGTAGGGGCTGCTCTCGCCCCCCCCCCCACACCTCGCCTATGGCTTTAGAAAAACACTCTAAGAGTAGCGCACACAAGACTATGTGGAAGTTGGGGCGTTCTAATTCGGTTTTAGTACAGAATCGACCTATATCTTGTCTATAATATGTAACTGATAAATAACAAAAAATGCCATTCATACATTATATTAAGGTAAAGTCTTGAACCTGATAATTCCCAGAATATTACCGTCATCTAGATCCGACCTCAACAATTTTTCAGCACTTAATTCCTTGATATTAATAGCTATCGTATATATCCATTATCGTCACTGCGTTGAGAGCGATACGTTTTAGCAGCAACGCAAATTTCAAGTTTGTTGCAGTGAAAATTTTAGAGCACCGAATTTTTAAACATGGCATTCTTGGCTTTTTCTAAATGCGAATGCCTGACTTTGCGTTGCTGGCGAGACACCACTGTGTTGGCGGCCTTTACATTTATTTTTTCTCATACATGCAGCATTTAAAATTGCAATTAACAATTTTATTGGTGCCAACGGGGATTGAACACTGGTTGCTCGCGTGCTATGAAATTAACAGCGAGCGCTAAGCCCCTGAGCTACCACAGCCCATTCTAGTTTTCATTTTTATTCTACTTCCAATAATTAGTATTTATTAAATATCAATTAAAAACAAAATACGAGAAAAATGTCTTTGGCATAGGCGTTTACTTCGTTCATCTATTATTTTATTCCTCACGATAAAAAAATCAGCTGAAAAATACAAGATTGATAAGGATATTATTGGTCCTGGAATCAGAGTCTTATTTTACTCTCTCAAGCTATATCAGTCTCATCTAACTCATTAAGACTACACTCACCAAGGGCGTACAACGTGTTCATGGGACCAACATCTTCCCTCAGAGCGGCGAGCAGCGCCATGACGTCCACATCCTCCGCATCGTACTGCGCGCCCGATACCAACAGCAACGGCTCGGCGGGCCGCAGCCCCAGCGATGATGCCCATACGTCCTGATTGTACAACACTTCGTCGCGGAATGAACGGGGCACGTTCACATGGATCAGAGACTTTGTCTGAAATTAATGATATACATATACAATTTTAATTATTACACGGTAGACGAAGTGTAGGGCAACTCCCCACTAGATGGAGTGACGACCTGGTGGGACATGCAGGGAGTTGATGGATGCAGATGGCTCAGGACCGTACTTTGTGGCATTCCATGGGGGACGCCTATGTTCAGCAGTGGACTTGTAAAGGGCTATAATAATTATGGTGATGATGATGATGATGATACACAATTAAGAAGATTACACCAATCAAGCCATTTATGTTTTGTTCATCAACAGAATTTTTTTGTACAACAGCCGTCACAATTCGATTTAATATAATAGACTATTCCTATTGCAAAAATGTTGATGGTGACTACCGCCGCCCATGAACAACTGCAATACCAGTAAGCTCTTTTTTTAAGGTTCTTAAGTCGTATCGGTCCGGAAAAATCGCCGTTGGTAAACAAATCCACAGAGAAGTTATACGAGGAAGAAAACTCCTAGTAAAATGCACAATGGTGGACCAATAAGCATCAAGATGGCGTGGATCGTATCGTAAATTTTGACGCGATGTGCATTCGTGAAATTTGAAGGCTAAAATTAATCCGAAGAATTCTTCATAGCATTCCCCGTGGTAGTTGCGATATAAAATGCAAAGGGATGCAACATCCGTTCGCAGCGCCAGTGAATAGAGCCGATCAGAAAGAATTAAGTCGTCAACGATTCGAACCGCTCTGCGCTGGATGCGATCAAGAGGAAGGAGCTGGCACTTGGGTGCCCCGCCCCAGAGATGATAACTATAATGATGTATTCCATGTGAGGCCGAACTTAGGCCTTGTAAAGTTGCAAGCGATGTGACGAATTGAAATACTGTCCCGCAGTTTGACCTTCCCTTCCATGTGACCACAAAACTACACACTACTCGATATGTCGACCCCTAGGAGATACACAAACAACGGGGTTGTAAAGGGACAAAGGGGTTGTGAAGGGACAATCAGCTTTAATTCTATCATTAGAATATACATTTTTCTTTGTATGTTCATTCATAATTTATTCGTTACAACCTATTAAAAGTTTACTGCTAAACATAGGCATTGTCCATACATTACCTCAAAACTATTTAATAATATAATTATTTAATAACTTAACTTAAATAAAATTAAATAAATATTTTCCTATGTCGCCTTTTACGCCCCTACTTGATTATATGGGGGTAATGATATTTTTATTTCTGAAACGGGTCTCTGCTATAGCGCCCACAGCGGATTCAACATATTCTTTGCAGTAAATGTTTATTATCTTTTAGAGGTTGATAAAAAAACATAATAGCGTTTGAGTACATAATAACATGGAAAACACTCCCTATTTTATATACGAAGGGTGTCCAATGTAATCTCGGTATGGGTATGTTAGAAAAAAGGTAAAATTGTGTTTTTTTTTATATACATTGTATTTGTCTGCGTTGAAGGTTCCACCTTTTTTATGTACTCGATCAATAGTATTCCTTTAGAATCCCAAAACACTGGGCCATGACTTCACCGGCTGATGGAGTGACTGAACTTCTTGCTGCTCGTCTGATCCCTTCTCATGCCATTGCATAGACTCCAGTTTACTATCAGGGTCAGAGTGGTGAACTCACGTTAAATCTCTTGTAACTTTCCTATCGAAAACAATTGTTGGGTCGTCACTACACAGCTCTAACAACTCCCTACAACAGTCAACTCGCGCCTGCTTTTAAAGCGCAGTGAGCAATCGCGGCAACCATGCAATATGGTATGACGATGTATGGTACTAACGGATAGATTAGTAATTCTTGCTAACATCTTAATTCTTACTGGTGTATCTTCTAATACAAGTTTTTCAGTAATTATCACATTTTCTTCTGTAGTCGCTGTAATTGGCCTATAAAATTGTAATTGGCATGGGTCATCTTCGACGCTTTCCCTGCCTCTTTTGAATTCACTTGATCATTTCTGTACGGTTGACATTGAAGCAGAGTCTTGGTGAACAGCCACCTTTTCTTCATGGATGTTTTTTAGAGTTGTTTCCTGTTTAGTGAGGAATCAACGCACGATGTTCGATTTTTTTAACATTGTCGATTCAGTCTTTCCAATCGTCTACGGCTGAAGGTTGCATAAGAAGTAATGAAGTTATCAAAACGAAATTTCATATTTATTCCCTCAGGCAGTGTTAGCCAATGAAGTTTTTTACCGAGAATACATTGAGCGCCCCTCGTAAAAAAAAGAAACAACTATATTTAATTGAAATCATTAGTTTATCATATGAATAGAAGATCTTAAGTTAATCAGGAAGAACTGTGTGATCCTGAAATTATTTGTGACCTACCCTGCTTAATACAAGATCTAAATCTACGGCGGCAATAAAATAACCCTTATAACAATTATCAGGCATACTACATAGAAAACCTTATAATTCTACAATCTTAAAACTATAACATGCCAACAAAATAACTATAAAATATATATCAGGTTCTAACCATAGCTAAATACTTTAATTATTGACCTAAACTGCTTGTAAAAGGTCTTTACACTGATACAGCTCTTACAGACTGATAATATTGCTTGCAGTATGAATATGAATCCAAATGCAGTTTGTAACAGTACAGCTTGCGTGCTAGTCAAGAGTTTAGTAAGAGAATTGATCATGAAATCTTTAAAAATAAAAATTTGTAATTCCAGATGATTTGATATTTTTTTTCTTATATATGTATATTTTATGTATATTTTTATGCAAAGGTAGGTGAACACTTGAAAAGAAAATATTATTTAAAAAGTTATTACCTGCATAGGAAAGTTTTGTGCAATAGAAGTAAGCACTCTAAGGGCCTCATCTCCTCCAGCATCATGTGCATCCATGACGGCTGCAGCTGCTTGCATACTAAGCGCTTGCATCTGCCATACTTTAAGAGGCGCTAACTCCTCGCTAGACTCTGATAAATGACGCCGGAATCGCTCCAAAGGTGTGCGCAAAGCAGGAAATAAGTTTCTGAGAAATAAATTACCAAATTAAATTGTATCCAATATAATACAATACTAAAATCATCTTACATAATTATGTCATCATACAAATGCGTGTAATATCGCCGTTGTATGATGATGATGTCATTCTGACCTACTTCAACTGCACAAACACAGAGGCAACCACTCGCCTTAAAAAAAACGCTTACAAAATGTTACACTCATATTTTTACTGCAGTCATCATAATTTTAATAAACTGCTGATCATTAAATTTTCCAAGAGACAGTCGGGACTCGGCACCAACTGCAACCTTCAACTTTTCGCATAAGATAATAGTGCTGTGGCCGTAGAAGGAAAAGGGGAGATCTCCCGCCGGGCGAGGTGTTCTGCCCGGGGAGCGGCCAACACTCCGTGTGATAGTTCGGAGATGTTCTATATATACTGTTTATGATCCGGAATTTTGATAGCGTGATTTAGGCTCCGGTGTGTTTCGCTTGCAGCGCGACGACAGCGCCGCCACACCACCCGCCTGCTCAGACCGGAAGTCGATAGTGCAGCCTCGTTGCCGACGAATGTGCAAGTGCCAGGAGATTGCCTTGTAGTCTGCGGTGAGTCGAGAAGAAGGCAAGTAATCTGCGAGAGTGCCGTGAAGCAGAGGCGAGCAATAAGGCTCAGAGCCGTGCCGAACACTGTATTGCGCAGAGAGTAGCTTGAAGGAACAGGAAGCATTATTATTGCAGTGCTGCGATGAGCCTTGCTTGTGAAGCTAGATGGCTTGCAGGATATGAAGACTGCAGACAATATCTGCTCGGGAGCGAATAGGTGGGGTATTCTATGACGATGATGAAGCTTGAAGTTTCCGAAGGTTGTTGGTTGCGTGTTCAGGTCACCTCGGTGGTCACCACTGTGGCTGTAGAAGGAAAAGGGGAGATCTCCCGCCGGGCAAGGTGTTCTGCCCGGGGAACAGCCAACACTCCGAGTAGTGGTTCGGAGATGTTCTATATATTATACTGTTTATGATTCGGAATGTTCATAGCGTGATTTAGGCTTTGGTGTGTTTCGCTTGCGGCGCGACGACAGCGCCGCCACAGTGCGAAAATATGTCTTGTTAAAGTGTTAACGATTACAAGATTACACTACATAGAACTTTTAATAATTATTTATAAAAGTTAAGTAAAGTTACAGCCTATAAGCGTCCCACTGATGGGCACAGGCCTCCCATCATTTCTGAGAGAGTTTGGATGGCTGAGAAATAAGAAAAAAAATAAGTATTTATACTTAAAAAAGAAACTTTTATTTTTGTTTTTTTAGTAAAAATTAGAAAATAAAAATGAGAGATACTTTCGAAGATGCGAGAGTAATCGCATTACACAAGAGCTGAAAATACAACCATTTGTATTTTAGCATTGCAATGCAATAGTCTAGTACTAGATGGTAGGACTTTTTTCCTAGCTAGTAGTACATTTGGATAGGTACCAGACTCTTGACTATATCCGCTGCCAAACAGCAGTGCTTGCATTTGCTGAAGGGTATAGAGAGGAAATATAATTACAAGCTGTGATGCATTACACTGTGTACTAAGATGTAAGATGACAATGCATCTGGAGCCTTCTTTATTTGAAGTTAGCTGAGTGTTCATATGGTGCAGCAGCCACTCACCATCAGGTCGACTGTGAGGTCGTATGTCACTTCCAACATTCTTAAAAAAAAACCTTAAGCAATTCTTTATTTTAAAAAGTGTGAGAACGGGCATTGGCTTGAAGTGAAGATGATTGAATGATCACACTTATTTACTTTGCCGTCAGTGTGTCCATCTTTCTCTACAGTTCTTTGTATATTTATGTATGTATCCACCAAAATAATGCCCAAATTTTCTTTCCATTGGTGGTCAGTTACTCGAGCTTTATGGCCGATGGCGCATTGCCATTTCAGTTTATATTGGACTCTACTTACTTTTGTTTTTCTGCAAATATTAACACTACTGATTTTTTTCGTGCAGAAAAACTAAATAGTGCTGAGACAAAGTTTAAAGAATTAGAGCCTTAATTTCAGAAAATATTATGGATAGAAATTATTTTAGTATTTTTAATTATTTGAAGTCAGCTTTTACGATTTATAAAAAAAAAATTTTTCCCCTTTTATGTAGGTAAAGGAATATCACAAACTCAAGGGTATTAACTAGAATATGGTTAAAAACTTCATAACCTGTTTTTCTATCCATAACGGTAACATTTTTCCCCTGGCGAGCACCCTTGAAGTATAAACTATTTAATAAAAAGAAGAACCATTAAAATCAGTAGAAAAATGTCGAAGATATCGCGTGATTAAAAATATACAGTCGATTTCTTATATTTACGCGAACACTATACATTGATTAAAACTACTTTTACGGATTTTATCGCGTTTTATTTATATTAATTTTAATACCCGACGTTTCGGGTGCTTTCCAGCACCCATGGTCACGGGGGACTGAGGTGACTGACGTCCCGATGTCAAAGTTAACCCGGAGTACCTTCAGCTTTTTAATTATTGTCTTTGGTCCGATCTACGCAGAATGAACTAACTGTATTTTGAAGTCTTGCAGTGGTATGCTTGGGTTTAGTTTTAATTTTATTAATTATAGGATCCCAAGCAGGTGGTAGTACCCAGCCTCCTTCTCTATTGAAATTAGGATGTTTTTTAATTTCAATAGCCTCACGTATCATCCTTGGTAGGAATCGATGTTCTTTCGCGAGGATTTGTGGTCTATCAAATCTGATGTAATGGTTGGAGCCATCTAGAATATGATCGCAAACTGCAGACTTCCCGGAACGTTGATGCTTCACGTCAGCTATGTGTTCTTGACGTGATATAGCGCGACATAGCCTCACCTCTATTGAAATTAAAAAACACCCTAATTTCAATAGAGAAGGAGGCTGGGTACTACCGCCTGCTTGGGATCCTATAATTAATAAAATTAAAACTAAACCCAAGCATACCACTGCAAGACTTCAAAATACAGTTAGTTCATTCTGCGTAGATCGGACCAAAGACAATAATTAAAAAGCTGAAGGTACTCCGGGTTAACTTTGACATCGGGACGTCAGTCACCTCAGTCCCCCATGACCATGGGTGCTGGAAAGCACCCGAAACGTCGGGTATTAAAATTAATATAAATAAAACGCGATAAAATCCGTAAAAGTAGTTTTAATCAATATACAGTCGAATCGAAAATCCCCTTTTTTTTAAATAGAATAAGGGTGACATACGAGCACACAGTCCAGCAGACGGTAAGTGGATGCACGGTCCATAGACATTTATCCTACGGGCCACAGCATTTATTACAAGGACCACTACATATATGTTACAGATTAAGAATCAAGGTGCAGATGCATTGTCACCCCTGAGGACTATGATGGAATGCCTCGTTTCCACTAAAAAAGGTATCTAGTTCTCTACACTCACCATACAACACACAGCAGCACACAGGCGGCAATTTATGCCGGTATTCTACAAGTGTGGTCCTACCCTGGTCAAGTCGACCCATTCATGTTACAATCATAATATTATAGCTGCAGTATGGCTCTACCATATACAAATCTGCTATAAACTGTGCATAACCATCTCCATAACTCAGTAACCTTGGGCTCCTTGAGCAGAATGAGGAAGCCCAAAGTTACTGAGTTATGGAGATGGTTATGCACAGTTTATAGTTGATATTCCTATTGAGATTCATTACTGTTTTGAGAATCAGAAAATTTGTGACAGATTCCAGAATGTCCAGCTGTCAGTTGACTCATATATAGGGTATGTTCCGAAATGTTTCCAGTAAACTGGTGAATGCAAATGACGTCATTAATTGACACCAAATTCCACCATATTTGATATAACTAATCACCAGTATGGCGTCGATTTATGACGTCATTTGCATTAGCCAGTGTACTGAGTTGAATTTCGGAATATACCCTTAAGCGATTGTAACAGCTATATATAGTGTTCTATTTTATTACATACGTATATGTTTAATATATGTTTAATATATGTTACTTACTTAAGTCTTCCAAAGTTAAATCCATCTATTTGATTCTGAGGATCATTTTCATCTTCCTCAATAGATGGTACTGCATCATCCCCAGCTTCAGATTCTTTTGGTGTGGTATCATCCTGGCTTTTGTACTCTGTACTCTTAAGTTGCAGCTCCACTCCATAGCCCGACAGACGCAATTTAGGTCTACCTCTTGGCTGTAGTGAAGTTTAAAGACTTATTGTTCAAGACAACCAGTTATTATCTAATAATTAATTACTAATAATTCATTTAGTAATAAAATTTTAATAGTCATAAACCAGAGGGGTTTTTATATTTGCTATATGTGTGTTTTTATTCTCATTTCTCCTTTAATATATCAACCTTATAAAAGGTACGACCTTTTAAAGAGTGTGTAATAGCCTAGAGCTCTACGTAGTTAAATGCATTTTAATAAAAACTAAAGTAAGTTAAAGTTACAGAGTACATACATCCCTGTGGGATGTATGTACTCTGTAACTTTGGGCACAAGTATCCTCATATTTCTGAAAGGGTTTTAGGACAAGGGAAAATCCGCCGCACTGCCTCAATGCGTGTAGTCGAAATTCAAGTCTTCGACATAATATGTTTATTATTTTATTTACTCACGATCTTTTCCTTCACTGACTAGCAGGTGGTAAACTAATGCATAAAATTACAAAATTAACAATTTTATTGGTGCTGGCAGGTATTGTACTCGGATTTGCCCATGTACTGTGAAATTTATGGCAAACTGTTAGCTACCAAGGTGCTCGCCTATGTTTGTTAGATTATGTTAGTTGATATAATATTGTAAGAACAATGAAGTAATGAATTCTGCTGATGTTTATATCAATTATCTTGGGGTGAAAAAATAGTGTCAATGGACGAATTTTTGCGGGAGATGCAAAGTCGGGTGGGCACAAGGAGCATATTTGTATTACATTAATGTGACTTCTAACAAATTTTGTTTTTGTTTTGTTTGAGTAGCAGATAATATATGTCAAAGTCAACTTAAGGACAAACAACATAGTGCCTATATTAGCATAAAGTTATTGCGACATCTAGGATCCAATAACAGATTTTTTTCTTCAATCGTCGATAAAAGACATGATGCTCTCTATTCATATATCTTATGATAGGTTTTCAAACTGATCACGGTATTACTGCAACATTTTGCTCATCAATCTAGAAAATTTCTTATATTATGTTTTTTTTTTTAATATTATCTCCTCACTAGGACTTTCTCCTGTATCGTGGGGGCAGTTTACTTACATACATAAATTTCACAAGGACAAACATTCAGAACTGGAACAATTATTTTTGTAGGCCATACAAATACTTGCAGGTTTCGAACCTGCGGCGATTTTTTGCTGCAACTCATTGCTAAGCCACTACGCCACAAAGCCGATTAAAAGAAATGTGATGCCTATTTATAATTACTAATAGTTAGTACTCAAGCTGATGGCGTGTAACATAAAACATTTCTCTTTTATTTCTTAATAGCAAATCATATAATAATTATTAAAATATTGCACAACTGTTGGCACACATTTCTTTTCTTGCTTATGTGTGAGATTGCAACACTGGTTCCAATACAAATTATGTTGTTTTGAATTTTTTTTATAGAAGAGGGGGCAAACGAGCATGCAGCTCACCTAATGGTAAGTGACTACCGCCGCCCATGAACAACTGCAACACCAGGGGAGTTGTAGGTGCGTTGCCAGTCTTTTAGAAAGGAGTAAGCTCTTTTCTTGAAGGTCCCTAAGTCGTATTGGTCCGGAAAAACCGCCGGAGATAAACAATTCCACAGAAAAGTTGTACAAGAAAGAAAACTCCTAGTAAAATGCACAATGGTGATAATGGTATCGTGAATTGTTACGCAATGTAAGTTTGTGAAATTTGGCGGCTGGAATTAATCTGAACAATTCCTCAGAGCACCATCCCCATGGCAGATGCGATAGAAAATGCAAAGGAATGCAACATCTTACTTTTAATATGTATATATCTCATCTGCAAGAGATATTATGTAAGCATAAAAACAGTGTTTCTCAAAAATTTTTCAACTTACTAAGTATAAATCAAAGAAAATCTCACTAGAAATGATAGGAACATTTTCTTTTGCGCCCGAAGCAAATATCCCATATACCCTCAATAAATACCCCCCGGAAAGCGGGAGAGGGAGGCGGTGAATGCTCATAGCATACCACGCAGCCGGCTGCGTGGTTATGTGGAGACTTTTACCCACTAAACACCGCCTTTATGGATTGACTTACCGATCTGACGAGAGATCTCTAAGCCGTATACGAACGCAGGCAGAAAGGACGGCGCAGAAGGAACATTTTTATTAGTGAGATTTTATACTATTTGAACATAATATTTTTAGTGATTCTAAACATTTTTTATTTGCAAATGTAAAACATATTTAATGGTTTGTTTACATAAAATCCTGTGCTTCAATGAACAGACATGGTATGGTTATTGAATATGTACTAAAAATATTTTATATTTTTGTTACTCGTTAATTGACTAATCCATAAATAAAAAACTAAAGGTACAGCCTATATACATCCCACAACTAGAAACAGACCTACTCTCATTTTGTTTATCTGTAGTTGCTTCAATATTTTTACTAGTGCGGCTTCTAAATTAGTAATTGGAGTATATAGAAAAAAGCTGAAAATTTATGTACCTTTAAATTCCATCTGACAACATAGTTGACTGCACCCATATCTGCATATGTGGCAAGTATTTTATGTCTTGCAGTGAATTCAGCAGTTCCCAGCTCACCATACAAAATAGCTGTAAGACTTTTATTATCACTACTAGGGTAGGAGTGGTCTAATTGATAAATCTCTAGTTCATGTTCTACCTGAAAACAGTGTTAGTGATTTAGGACATAAAAATAATATAACAAAATAATTAAAATATTTCAATTGCATATTATTACAAAAACATCTTTTTATAATAAAATTATCCTATACCTTTAAATGAGCAATTCTTGTACATATATATAATCGGAATCTCGGAAACGGCTCCAACGATTTTCATAAAATTTTGTGTCCAGGGAGTTTCGGGGGCAATAAATCGATCTAGCTAGGATTTATTTTTAGAAAATGTCTTTTTGTTCGTGTTTTTAGGCAGTGAAAAACTGCTACAATATAAGAAGGTAAATTTTGACATCGTGTAATGATCATAATAGCTTAAGTGGATATTGAGCGGTAGCATAATCGTAACGCTAAGTTCGCGTCCTGTCTTCGGTCCGTCTTTTTTCCTTTTTTTACAAGTTCCCTTTTTTTGTGAGAAAATCTAATATTTAGAGCCCTTTTTTAAGTATTTTTTAAAAATACGAAAATTTTAATTAAAACCGAGCAAAGCTCGGTCATCCAGGTACTTTTAATAAAAACAAATAAGTATGGACTGCATACATATTTAATATATTAAGTTACAGCTTATATACGACGTCCCACTGCTGGGCTCAGGCCTCCCCTCATTTCTGAGAGGGTTTAGGGCAAGGAAGTGTCCGCCGCGCTGCCCAAATGCGTGTTGACGAACTTCACATGTCTTCGAAATATTTTTTTTTCTTATTCCTCAGACATGCAGGTTTCCTCACGATGTTTTCCTTCACCGTCGAGCACGTGGTAAATCAGCACTTAAAATTGCAATTAACAATTTCATTGGTGCCGGCGGGGATCGAACCCGGGTTACTCGCGTTCTGTTATATTACCAGCTAGCGTTAACCACTGAGCTACCACGGCTCTGCTATGGACTGCATACATATTTAATATTAATTCAACTTATATCACTCACAAAATGGATGTGGTGGAGAAATTAAAAATATTACTTTTTTATATAATACTAGCGATCCGTCCCGGCTTCGCACGGGTGAATTTTGGATCTCCACATCAGCGCCACCACACAAGGGTCTAATTGTGAATCTAAACCATCCAGGAACCCACCCAAATGTACACAAAATATTTCCTATCAAAATTGTTCAGGCCATTTTCAATTTTGTTTTTAGCAAGTATTTCATATGAACACATATATGGACAAAAGAGTTAAATATAACACTTACAGGATCATATTGTTTATATGATTTAAGGATATCATGTAAAGCCTCTATATCACATATTTTCCTTGAAACAATGGCAACATATGTATCACATTGCACATCCTTCGCTCCATTTTGTGATGCAATTTCATCAAACATACGAACAGCAGGCGAGGTTAAATGCATGGACAGAGCTAGTTTAGCCATTCGCAACTGTGCAGGAGCCAACAATGTACTCGCTATGCCAATACATGCATCATAAACTTGTTTATCTGTCTCTGTAAAAAATTACTCTTTATGTATTTATTAACATAAAATTAGAGGATGCTCAAGATAGTTATTTTTATTACAGAAGATTTTCATATAGCATAAAATTATTCCACAAAAGTAAAGTAAAGTTACAGCCTATATACGTCCCACTGCTGGGCACAGGCCTCCCCTCATTTCTGAGAGGGTTTTGAGGAGAGAGGGGCAAGGAAGTGTACGCCGCGCTGCCCCAATGCGTGTTGGCGAACTTCACATGTCTTCGAAATATTTTTTTTCCTATTCCTCCGACATGCAGGTTTCCTCATGATGTTTTCCTTCACTGCCGAGCATGTGGTAAATCAGCACTAAACTTTGACACAAAATTGCAATTAACAATTTCATTGGTGCCGGCGGGGATCGAACTTGGATTGTTACTCGCGTTCTGTTATATTTACAGCGAGCATTAACCATCTGAGCTACCACGGATCTTCGGCTTCTTTACGTTTCTCATTACGTTTTACGTTTCTCACGGCTACTCTATTCCACAAAGCTAAGTGTAAAATGCGGTTGCCAACCCCACTGCTACATGTGTGTAACCTTTTCAAGCATCCCTCTTATGAGAGATGTCTATGTGCAGCAGTGGACTAATAGGCTGCAATGATGAAGTTTTTTCAATGTCAAAGCTAGTGAATCAATTTCAGTTTATTTAACTTGACTTGCAAGAGTTTCTTTTGAAAATCAAGATCTACACTGCGGTACACAAAAATAAGACCTTTTCAAGCCGGTTTCATGACTCTAGCTCATCAGGATGTTAGTTTAAAACACCAGCCGTACCTCAATTGTTGCTTATATTACTTAATATGTACTTTCATTTTAATTGATAAATTTAATAGGACCTCATGCCAACTATTTACCTAGCTGCCCATTCAGCCATTTTACTGGCCATTTATTTATTTGTTATTAAATTCATCTAAGGGGGCGTCCATAAGTTACGTGAGGTGGTTTTTTTAATTTTCTGTCTTTCGCTCCCCCCCTGGTGAGATGTCGTGAGATTTTATTCAACTCCCTCCCCCATCCCCCAATCTCACGTGAGATTTTTCAAAATGTGGGTTTTGTTACATGCGTTGGATTGTTATTGTAAAAATAAAAAATTTTTTAAACATCCTATAACTCAAAAAGTATGGAAATTAGAAAAAAATGGTTCAAACAAAAGTTTTGTAAAATAAACTGATCTTTAAAAATAGATTTATGCATTTTATTGATTAACCTAATACTTCAAGAGTTATTGGCCGCTATAGAAAAACTGGTTCATTAAATTGGCCATAAATCGTAAACGCTAAGTTTTACAAAAAAGTTTACTGGAAACAAAAGAAGCAAAATTTTATTTTCTACAATAATGGTTTCTATAACTTTTGTCTTAAAGTGCATAGTTTCCGAGATATCGGCTGAAATCGTTTTTTCAAGACAGCGCTTGAAGCGCCACCTGGATCTGTCAGCATTTTGTGATTTTATGCTTAGTAAGTGATCCTAAACCCTCTAAAAAAATAAAATTGGAATCGGAAATTTAGTTCAAAGTTAAATTCTATTTTTACTGTACTACACTAGCCATCAAAAAAATCGGCCCACCTACGTTTTTGCCGCAAATTACGTTTTTCTGAAGCAGAACCAACCAAAACGTTTTATTTAACTTGTTTATTTACACCAATTTAATCACAGTTACAACATCAAAATTATTTTTTGAAAGTAATTTTCATTTAAAAACCAAAATCTTTAATTTTTCACGATTATTTTTATTAATTTTCAATACGCTCTAGTTTTTATGTATTGAATTTTATGTACACAATTGTTGCAATTTAATATTGTGTATTCCCTCCTCTTACTCGAATGACAGCCTGCATTCGCCGTTTTAATGACCTTATCAAGATTTTGATGGTCTCTTGAGCGATTCGGTTCCATTCTTCCGCGGCGGTTTCAAGGTCTCCTAATGTTGTAGGGACTGGATTACGGGCTCTAACCTTTTGTTTTAGGGTGTCCCCCATGTGCTCTATAGGGTTAAAATAATGGGCTTCTTGCTGGCCACGACATTACCCGAATGCCGACCTCTTCAAAGTAATCGGTTGTGTCATTAATTCAAAGGTCTCTCCAATATAGCCGACGTATGGCACCACATGGTCTTCTAAGATCTTGTGATGTAGCGTGCTGCAGTTAAAGCACCTCATCATATGAAAACCAGCTCAGTGCGTCCAGTCAAAGATATCCCAGCCCAAAACATTACAGAGCCTCCACCATAACTGACAGTTTCTCTTATGCAACACTGGGTATAACGTTCACCTGATCGTCGCATGACATTACAGCGTCGATCAGAACCGTTTAAAGTCATTCGACTCTCATCACTAAAAACAACTGACTCCCATTGGCCTATAGTCCAGTTGATGTGGTTACGCGCAAATTGAAGTCTGGCTTGTCGATGAGCTGCGGTCAATTGTGGTCTTGTTGCTGGCTTGTGAGGTCTTAAATTCTGCTCACGAAGTCTCCTTCTCACAATACTATCACTTATAGCTACACCTCGATCTTCACGTAAGCATCGCTTGAGATCAACACCAGATAGATGGCGATTTCGTAGAGCTGATAACACTATAAATCGGTCATCCCTTTGAGTTGTCACCCTATGTCTTCCAGATCCAGATCTTCTTCGATACTGTCCAGTCTCCAGAAACCTTTGGTAAACTCGTCGCACTGCAGAACGGCTCAGATTTGACCTCCTGGCCACGACACGTTGACTTAAGCCTTGTTGCAGTAAAGCCACAACTTGGGCCGCCTCAGCTTCAGTAGTGTCCATTATTTTTAGACAAAGTAATCAATGCTACAGCGTCAGTAAATAAACTTAACGTTATTAACAAGAAATCCCTACAAAAGTCTGTGTCGGACTGAAATAACGGTTCGAATTTGTTCTGACGTAAAACGACGAAATCAACACTCAACAGTATTTCTGTATAAAACATTGTAAAGTGCCTTCAAGTGCAATAAGATTTACGACAAACAAGATGTCAAACATCATATTCGACCCTCAAAATAAAAAACAAATGTGTGAAACAGCTTTTAAGTGAAACAATCGAAAAATTTCAAACAAAGAATGGGTGGTTCGATTTTTTTGATGACCATTATATTTCATTAAACATTTTATTTATCAACAACATCTTACAATCGTCGTTTCTCTAGTGCTTATGTGACCTTCATACAAATAACTTGATATTTTAATTGTTGATAATTTTTATTCTTTGGCTTGACCATAGGTTTAACTAATTGGTTTAATAATCTGACATTTACAGTAGTGGTTAATCATATTACGATATATGCTAAAGATTAAATCTTAAGCATGTACAATCTGGATTAAATGGACCAAAATAGTATAATTTTTTTGTTTTAATCGGAAAAAAGATTGCATGATATTTGCCGAGACCCCCCTCTCCAACTTAAGATTAGATGAGATTAGACTCGACCCCCTCCCCCCTTAAACATCTCACGTAATTTATGGACGCCCCCTAATCTAAATGATTGTTTATAACATCTTTTTTTTAAAACGGAGGACTGAAGTAAAGAGATTGCAAATGAGAAATTTGGTAGTATTCTATGTTAATTTGTGAATAAGTAAATAAAAAACAAAATATCATGTGGTCCTTCATAAATGTAAATGTGTTTGACAAAAATTGTACTTTAAAACATTATGATCAAATTTGACTAATTTACAGAATTTCAATTTGCGAAAAATTTATATTATGACATTTATTATTTTTCAAACAGTTTCTTTGCGTCAAAAAGCTATTGATTTCTGCACTTTGATATTTTAATATTTAATGCATGCTTAGTGAGTCTTTCTACCATAAAAATATAATCTCAATATATTGGGTTTAAGCAGTTAAATAGTTAAATAAGATTGTTTTTATAATTTTGCAACAATATTAACTAAAAGGTGTGTATTTATAGATTTTTGTTTCAAACATTACCAAAAGCACATAATTTAGAAGATTCTTTGTTGTGGTAAGCATTTTTATAATAATTGTGCTTTGATAAGTTTTTTTTAGGATAGTTAAATGATCCATAGCGAACTTAAAATACAAAATAAAATTTAAATAACAGTAACTCTGTAAAGATATAAAACACATATTTAATTTATTTATTATATATATGTAAAATACTTACCTAAGGTATCTAAGGGCGATTTTAAGGAATTTACACCATCAATAAAAGACCAGAACAAATCTGAACTTTCGCCAGAAAGGTATTCCGCAAGTTCTAACACTATCGGAGTAGCTTCCCATTTTGCTGTTACAAAAGTAGTGACACCTTTTGCTTTTTTCTCATCGCGTTTTGGTTGATCGGGATCGGTGGAAACAATAGCAAAAACGTGGGCTAAAATTACTAGACAAATATTAAGACCGGTGATTTTCATTGTTTACAATATGCTAGTGAAAATGCAAAAACTTTATGAATTGCAATGGCTATAAATTATTTTGGATATATATTTTAAAGGTTATAGACATAATTTTGAATTAATTTTATTTCTTTATTCATTAGAATATTAAAAGTAAACTATTAATTTTTATCAGTAGGTATTCCAAATTACGACAAAGACAAACCGCCAATGACAGCTGAACACGGAACATGAGTGTTGCCCATAGATAAATAAATATGTAGCAAGCTAGTGTTGCCCACAGTTAAACTAGCTCACGGAGTACATAAAAACTAGCGCTCCTCCATAGATGTAGTATATACTCCATATATTGGGCATAAGAGTAAAACAGAGCTACCGCGCCTTAATGTACTTTCGTGTGTTAGAAAGAGAAAGCGAGTGAAATTGTCAGCGAGACTAAACACATATTATTTAATGGTATATAACGGCCCAGTAAACTGTGCGCGAATACATTTTAGCAATTTCATAAATGAATTTATAAGTGATAACTATATTTTTTTATAGTTAATATATGTGTATAACACGATAGATAGTTTTTGTTCTGTACCAGGATGTAACTCTTACAAAAAGTATAATCCCCCGGATTACTCATTCCACCAGTATGTTTATAACCTGATATCTGTCGTTTTTTTTTCATAATAGTGGTTCACACATTTGCCGGCTTTGGAGAAAATTTAAAGGAAAATTAATTTTATTTAGTATTAGGAATTATTAGTATTTGGAAAATAGCAAATAGAGAAATATGGGGGCATTAATAACCTCACTTATCAGTGATACGCTAGAATTGTTTTGATGTCGATTTCAATCAAAATGAAGGATACCGAGTAAGTTATACCTGTACAGCGAATAGTTAACTTTATTGATAATAATAGTATAAAACGTAAACGTGATAGAGCTATTATTAACATAAAGTTTATCTCACGCTCGGTTTCTGAGGTACTTAGATAAACAAACTCTTTTTAAGTAAATTTCTATTTAAAATTAGTATTTACAAACGTTTCGTAAAACTTAGATTAAAACAGAAACCTATATTCAATAATGACAGGAACACGTACTACACTACACTGACCACTGACATTAGGTTCCAGGTATATATAATGTACTCTGTGACTACGTGGTTATGACAATACATGTATTATCCATTTATTGAAACTGAACAATATACTATTTGCAGATTCCCTATAAATTCGAAGATAAGAGAAAAGTGGTTGCGAATGTTAAATGGATAAAATTGGACTCCGCATAAATCTATGATATGTGGCAACCACTTTCATCAATATTGTTTTTCTGGTTAAAAAAGAACGAAGTAAAAAGTAGTTCTATTCCTACTATGTGCTAACGTACCAGCATGGGTAAGAAAAATAGATAATATACTATATAGGGCAGATAAGAAAAAGCAATAGCTTTTTAAATCGTTCAGATTACCTATTTGTTGCAATTGTAAAATTAAATAATAATGATAGTGTGTTCATGATGAGTTTTCAATTTTATGAAAACTAAATTGATGTTTCTAAGGCACAAACTAATAAGAGTACTAACGTAATCTAAGGCTACTCAGAGTATGATAATTGAAATCACCTGACATCCCTCTATGAAATCTAGTAAAATAAATAATGTAAGCTATAACTTATTCTGTTGAAATAGATGTTTGAAATATATAGTTCATAAATTTTGTATTATATTTATAATAATAAAATGATATTCTTACTATCTTATTACATATATTAAGAGTTGTCTAGATAAAGTAATAGTATGTAAGTTGCATTATTCTTCTAAATTGTGTTATTGTTAATTAGATTATATATTAGATTGCCATTGAATCACATAATTCACATAAGTTATGTAAAATAAGTCTGCCTTGTCTATTTAATTTGTTTGAATTCCAGGTTGAACTGCATCTTCAGCATAGATCGTATACATATCAGTGATATTGGAGTGGCAACAAGAAAGAGGGAAATGTTAAAAATAATGTTACGAGCTTAGGGTTCGTGACAATAAAAACTGCCGATTGAATTACCAAAACTGACACTTTAATTGCCGAACACCAATTAAAACTTAAAACACACTAATAATTAATCACACTGATCACTTTAGTTCACTTTATTTCGCTACGAAGTCTTGCTTATATCTACAATTCAATACTGCCCCGGTCGCGGCCCTAAATGGCATTATATAGGCCTTTTCCACCGAAACATCTAGAATATTCCAGCAAATACCGGTCCTGACCGATTAGGTGTAGAAAGTTGAGTGTGAAGTTTTCTAGAAAGTTTAGTTCTTTTATTCGATACTAGATGGCGCTAGTGGAAGAGTTCTAGAAGAATCTTGACGCTCTTATTTCTGATGCTTGATACCAGATGGCGCTAATAATCAGCCGTCACATACTGGACGCTAATTATAGTGCTCAACACTGCCCCTCTTAAGATTCGTCCCGTGCATTATCGACCCAGTCGATCCACATGGACGATCTTAGGAGTACCTCTTGCGCCTTTCTGTATCCGGTAGGTTACATCGTTGATCCTGGTCATAATCCGGTACGGGCCGTACCATTTCGCTTGAAGCTTAGGAGATTTCCCTTTGCTGCTGACTGGATTGTGCAACCACACTAGTGAACTTTCGTCGAACCCTATGTGGTTCATTTTGCGGTCATTCACTTTGTTCCGCAAGTCATTTGCATAATCGGTTGTTCTGCGTGGGGCATCAGGTGGTATCCCGGTGATTAGGTCTGCAGGTAGCCGTAATTCTCTTCCAAAGTTTGCGAAAGCTGGTGTCACTGATGTACTTTCGTGAACAGCGCTTCGATATTACAACAAAAACGGTTGTATGTGTTTATCCCAATCTCGTTGCCGATTGTCTACAACTTTTGCTAGGTACCTCTCCAATATCTGATTAAATCGTTCTACTATTCCATCATATTGCGGGTCGTAAGAGGTCGTTCTTGTTTTGTGAGTACCCAAAACTCGGCAAGTTTCCTGGAATATTTGAGACTCAAAATTCCTTCCGTGATCGCTGTGAATCTCTAAAGGTACTCCAAAACCACAGAAGACTTCAAGAACTAATTTATCTGCAACTATTGAAGTTTCTTGATTTGGAGTGGCGAAGACTTCTGGCCACGTAGTGAAGTAATCCATCGCAACCATGAAATACTTATTACCACTTTCACTTTCCGGAAACGGCTCCGCCACGTCAATAGCTATTCTCTTCCATGGTGCACCAACATTGTACAACTTCAATGCACCTCTACTACGAGTCTGAGGTCCCATTACAGCCGCACAACTTGTACATTTGCGACACCAGTCCTCGACATCGTTTCGATAGTGTACCCAGTAAAACCGTTCTTGGATCTTCTGTAGAGTTCGTTTAACTCCCAGATGAACTCCGGAACGATCAATATGGGACAGCTGTAGAACATCCGGTACTTTAGCTTTAGGGACAACCATTTGCAAATGACAGCTGTCTCTCCGACCATTTTCCCATTTACGGCACAGAACTCCATCCTGAAGCAGCAAACTGTCCAATTGGGCCCAATAGCTGCTCTCTGGTGGATCTTCCTGCTGTTCATGTTGTAAGCTTTCCTTCCACTCGTTGCTGAGGTGGTCTGTCCTGCGGATCCTCACATATAGCACTTCCTTACCCTCTTGCCTAGTACAATGCTTGCAATCTTCGGGACAAGGCCTCCTTGACAATGCATCTGAGTTGCCATGAGATTTGCCGCTTCGATGTTCGATTACAAAGTCGTATTCCTGCTGGACGGTGCTGTTAGCTGCACTACCCTTTCGAGATCAATCACCTTCCTTTTTACACATCGCTTAGGGCAGCTGGGTCGAAGATGGCCCATTTTCCCACAGCGGTAGCACCTTGTGTTGTAACTTTTACTCCCTAACGTGTGGAAAACGATGATCCTGCCCTGCTGGGCGGTGCCGTTAGCCGCACTACGCCCTCGAGATTGTTCACCTACCCTTTCTACAGTTCGCTTAGGGCAGCTGGATCTAAGATGGCCCTTTTCATAGCCATAGCACCTAGGGCTGTATCCAATATTGTGGTCGCGAACTGTAGCTGCTACAACCTCCTTCACGCGAAGGGAACGATGATCCTGCCGAACGGCTTTAACTTCAAGTGCATGGGCCAAGGCTTCCGTAAGCATCACGTGGTACCCGAGCCTCACAGCAGCTCTGACTTCAAGGTCACGGATGCCATCGATGAATGTCTGCACGAGGTTCCCTTCAATGAGCGCGGGTACAGACTGGTAAGCTTTTCGCACCAGCTTCTCCACCTCAAGAGCCCACTGCTGCAGGTTCTCGTTAATGCGTTGCACGCGATCTTTAAACTACGCACGAAAGACGTGATCCAGGTGAGCGTCGCCGTATCTCGCCTCCAATGCTTCAAGTAACTGCTCGTAAGACACTTTCTTATCGAGAGCTTCCAGAACAGTTAAGGCCTGGTCGCGCAGGCCTAGTGTGAGAGCAGTCATAGCCTGACTTTTATTCCAGCCGTTCGTCTTCATAACAGCCACGAACTGAATTTTGTAGGCCGACGAGAAAGAAGTCCCGTCGAACGGCGGCACTTTGAATCCACAAAGTGAAGGTGTTGTATATATCACGGGAGCTGTTATTCCATCCCCAAGTTTGAGGTCGTCCACCATTGTCTTCATGTCAGCCATCACTTTGTTCACTTGGTCGATTCAGGTCTCAGCTTCCGATAGGTGTTTGTCATGTAGAGCAACCCCATCCTTCACCTCCTTTATCTCTCCTCTATCTCCTCCATCCCTCCATATTATTCCCGAAGGTAGCGTGAAGGTCCTTCATGAGGAGCATCTGCTCTTCAAACTGAAGGGCCTGTTCCTCTTTTCCGCCCCGCAGCTGCTCTTTCAATCGGCGTGCCTGATGCGCCTGCTGGCGGGCCTGTTCCGCCTGCTGGCGGGCCTGTTCCTCCTGCTGTTCTTTCAACCAATGGGTCTGTTCCTCTTGTCCATCCCGCAGCTGCTCCTCCAGTCGGCGTGCCTGATCCGCCTGCTGGTGAACCTGTTCCTCCTGCCGGCATATTTGCTCCAGCATCATCAAGAAAGCAACTAATTCAGGTGCTGCAGGTGCTGCTGACGGGCCAGCCTTGGCTGGCAGTTAGCCCTCCGATGTCTGCAGCGTTGCACCGCCAAATCTTCTCTGGTCCGTCTCCTGCTGGCATTGACTTCGGCTACAGGCACCCTCCGTGTCGTCATTCGGTAAAATCGACATGATTTGATATCTCTTCTGACACCAATTGTTACGAGCTTAGGGTTCGTGACAATAAAAACTGCCGATTGAATTATCAAAATTGGCACTTCAATTGCCGAACACCAATTAAAACTTAAAACACACTAATAATTAATCAAACTGATCACTTTAGTTTACTTTATTTCGCTATGAAGTCTCGCTTGTATCGCCAGTTCAATACTGCCCCGGTCGCTGCCCATTTTTTTTTAACATGGGGAAATGCCTACGCATACCCGCCTCGCGGGGGCAAGGACGGGTTATGTCGGACTCGCACCGACTAAAACCCCATGGTGTTCCACCTTTGTCGCATATTGGCAGGGCTACGGGAACGCTTTCGCACACTTCCGCGGCCCTACCAGCGACTGCCGCCCCATGGCAGCACCTCCTCGGGAGAGGAATATTCCTCCCCGTTCTCCTTCCCAGGTAAGGCGCACCAGAACACATGGCACGCCTTCCTCCACGGCCTCCAATTGCATCTGCGCAACAGACGCCCCCGCGTCCGATGCGCGAAGGCCATGGGGCCAGGAAAAACGAGCACTTAGAAGTACTAGCCTTCCCGACCCCAGCGGCGGATCTGG